GCCAGAATGATAGAGTAAGATCAAGTTGTGGATGAATATTCAACGACTCCCAGACAACCGACTTAAATAATCTTCCTCATTTCTTATTTCATTGCCCTAATTTGTATATACGATAGAAATAAATATGCATAATTTGTTTGCAGAGCAACAACATTGATTTAAATAATTTAATCAACTTACAATTAGTTTATATTTTAGAATATGACTGTTGAACTATTTATTATAAATGTATATTGTCGGTTTTTTTACGCTGGTTTCGAATAACTTACCTTTCTAGTTCCTTTCACCTGTATAATGTTAGAGCATTGAATTGATTCTTTTATTGTTTATCTGTTGATTTAATATCAATCTTGTTGATTCAAAACGATACTATTTCATAAAGAAATGTCTTTTTTTAATTAACTTAATAACTTAACTTGCCCATTCTTTATCAACAATAATTTTTTTTAGACAAAAAAGTTAAAAGTTTTATTTAGAATGTAACTACTTCAAAAAAGATAAAAATATTGTCTTACAATACAATACCAAATACTTTATTAGAATTGATACAAACAAAAAATAGAAACACTGATACAAAGTATAATAAGCATGGCTAGTAGCCGTCTGCTGGGTTTACTGCATAATAAAGCTTACAAATACAGAAATATTAAAACAAAAGAAATTCGAAGAGAAAATTTACATATAGCAGGTGTACGAATTAAAATAGATGGAAATATGAGAAAAAAGAAGAAAACAAAAAGAATTAAATAAGAACAAATTACCTTTTGAGAACTGATAGAGTACTAAAAAACAAAGCAGTAAAAGTAAAAGTATATGTACAGGGACGACAATTATTGCATATCTGAAAGCCACTCGTATCTCACTCTCCAGGCGTGCCGAGCAAAGGAAATTAGCGGTAAAGGGGATACTTGGTTAGAAAGATATTCCAGTATTTCAACTCTGGAGATGACTGTCTTACCCAAGTAAGATACCCGCAATTCTGAGAGAAGAGAGCAGACTCCCAAAAAATGATATGAATCTTCCCTGGCGAGGCTGTTACAAAGTGGACAAGTTTCATCTTGAGGATCATTCAAAACCCAGGGTTTGAATTTCAAGTATAACAATTCTCCTCTTAGTTTGAATAGCCAACAAGAATCTCTAATATTAAGGTCCTGGGAAAGGCTCGGATTATATGAGAGTAGGTGTTCATTGAACAGTTCCTTATACGAGTAGAACCTCTCTGTGCTTTTCGCCTTATTCACAGCTTCTTCTCGATGAACTTCGATTATTTTGTAAGGAAGCACTAAAAGGTCCGAGAGATTCTCCCGAACACCGGAGTTATGCCAGGAGCATGAGTATTTCTGGGCTAGAGAAGCCCATTGATTATACCAGGAGATATTCTTTCTAATTATCTATAGAGCGATTATTTTAGGCAGTCGATCATCTGAGAGGCTCAGTATCTTTGACATATATTTTAGGTGGAGGGAAAAGGTATACGAGAATAGTGGAACCAAACAGGATCCTAGCGTTAGCATGTAATTTGGGGAGAAATATGGTAAGTTGAAAAGTTTTTTAACAAAAAAACGTTGAAATTTTTCCACAACCTCGTATGACTGGAAACCCCATACTTGAGCGTCGTAACATACCACTGTGCGCAGGACACTGTTATAAACTTTTAGTTTGGTTTCATAAGTTACAAGCTTGTTGCGAAAGAGATTTACCCAGACACAGTTTAAACCTGTTTTTGTCAACAGTCAATAATTTAAAAACATGATAAGTAATAATCAGAAATATTTGCTTTATAAAGAACTCGCCTTTCAATTCTAATAATTACTTGAATAGTAAATCAGTGGGGGCGTCGGTGGCCGCAACGGTTTAGGCGTTGACACGGCGCTCAATACTGTAAGGTAAAGGTCCCGGAGTTCGAATCCAGCGGCCCCGCATTCGAACCCGACATACTTACAAATGGGCTTTTGTACAAACCACTGCAGTTGCTCGTAAAAAAAATATAAAATAAATAAAATGAATAAATTTTAAAAAATAATAAAAATAAAATAAATAAAAATAAATTACGAGTGAATGTTTGGAGTCAGAGCTTTATAGCACTCAGAAGAGATATAGCTAACCTAAGATAGAAGGTTTGGATGTTAGGGCGTGAAATGACCTTAGCCGTTAAAACGCCCTTAAAAATTAATAATAATAATAATAAAAATAAAGTAAAATAAATTATTGTGAAAATGTGGTTAAATTTAAATTTTAAATCCATTATATTTAGTGGTCTATTGACTAAATTACTTCATCATTTTATGTAAGGTTTTGGTTGAAATGATAAAGTTAGTGTGACATGTTGATGTACTCTGGGTTTTTGTTATTATATACCATATAAAAAATAATTTATAATATTATATAACAAATAAATTAATAAACTAAAGACTTCCTTTAAATTCAATCTGATAATGGGGTTCCAACAAAAAAGTGCAACGAACCTCGGAAAAGAATAACTTGTTTCAGAAGATTTCTAAATCAAAAAATGAGGTTTACATTTATTATTTTTTATTGGAATCGTAACTTTGTTCTATGTTCAGAACTTTCGGAAATCCACGCAGGGTTCAATAATGGTTTGGTTATTTAAAAACGTATGACAGTGATTTTCGAAAAGGCCGTCCACACCGGAAGAGGTCCATGAGAAGGTGTAACTGGGGCTTGATTTGAGTTGCTCGGACAGTCTCGTTTCTGTTATTAAAAAAAGAACAAAAAGTGTGTAACGTGTTCAAAGACTGGAAATTTCCTGTGCTGGAGTTTTCAACGGTTGGCGCACATTAAAAAAAAGTTTTTTTTAATTATTATATATTGTGTTGAAGAAAAGGATACAGTGGATATCGTTTACATGAAGGTACCGCAGGTTTTTGTACATTGTAACCGATGTCCGCTGTGTCCAATACATCGTTTATAACATACATGCATGCTGTATCCGATATGTAGTAATACGAGTGGATGTGTGGTAGAAGATGGGGGGATAATAACCCAAACAGAATGTACGTAAATGCATGTATGTACTGAATGCAACAAAAAATCTCCTTTAATGCATACAAAATTCCATCGACATTCACATTCTTCCGCTTAAGTAGGGTATATTATAATAATTTTTTGCATATTTTCTACATTTGCAAAGAATTCAGTGATTTTCTTCTGAGGTTTATTTTTACATTCTGCACAAAAGACCTTCTCGATTGTTGACGACACGATGGAACACGCTTCTCTGACGGCCTGAGAGGTCTCGTTGGTGAGTTGGTAAGACCTTAGTGTCGAGCACGCTGCATACGCTTCAGCAGTCGATAGAATTTTACCGGAATCGCCCTCGTCGTCTTCTATATTGGGTATGAATGCCGAGGGTTGCTCTTCAATGACCTGGGAGTTCTGGATTTCGTGAGACAATTCCTCACATATCACGACATCCCTGACCACCTCAAGAAACTCAATTAGCATTGATGACAGAGACGGTTTGTCTCAGCTCCGAGTAACGTACATTGTATATAAACAGTGCGAAGTGTAGATGACCTACCTGTGCGTTGTATACTGCATCCGATATTTCTGCCCCCCCCCCCGATCCAGAAAAGTGTGTGCTCTAAAAGTGTGTACGTTGTAAACGGTGTTATTGTAATTTCTGCTATACCATTTCACGGTGTCGGAGATTTTGTATTCTTTAACCGGTTGTACGTTCCATCGATATCCACTGTACTTCAAAAAACATTAGTCTTACGAGTAGTTAATCAAACTCAACTATAAATATAAAAGAATTATTCTCTTTTATTTTTTATTTCATTGTAAGAAATAACCATTAATCATTTTCATTTCATATTATTTATTTTTAGTATAAGAAGTATTTCCTTGTAAAATGTGAACCCCACATGACGCACCGTGCCAGCGCCGCGTGGCATCCGTTTGTCGGCCGACTTGCGGTGACGGTGACGGAGGACCTCACTTGTCCATATCATGTTTGACAACCGTTGAACCTCATCGTCGAAGTAATCATCGTTTCGTTGAAAAAAAAAAAAGTTTTAAAAATAGTGAACTAGGGATGATAGCACTTGCATTAGAGGAAGAAGATGCTAATTTGGAAAGAAATCATCGCAGAAGGAGAAGAATGACGATTCACAACGCGTAAAAAAAGATGTGTTGAAGGGAAATTTTACTCGCTCCTTCCACATCTAAAGTACGATGAGACAAAGTTTATATAAAATTAGAAACTTTTTTATATAAAATTGTACTAAGATTATAAAAACATAATAGAGAATAGATATATAAACGGAATATTTAAAAAAATTAACAAAAAATAAACTCTCCACTGGAGCTCACCGATCCGGGTCCGACAAATCTAAACAAAACTAGTTGGTCTCGGTGCGGAGAGGTGAGGACTGAAGGGAATTTATTTAGAAATCGTGAGATACGGTCTGCTGTGATGTAGGTTTCAGAAAAACATTTTCTTTATCGTGCCAACGTTTCGATCTTTATTGAGATCATCTTCAAGGCCTGGGATTTACAAACATTGTTTACATATAACAATTACATTTTGGATGTGGAAAAGTGAATTTATACAATGCAAAATATATTTTTTATATATTCAATCAAAGTATTTCTACTCACTCAAAGTGTTTGTCTTCTGTGTAATTGTGCCATTCTTGCGTGTCGTGTTGAGAGTGCCAGAAGATGATCTCAATAAAGATCGGAACGTTGGCACGACAAAGAAAATGTTTTTCTGAAACCTACAGTACACCAGACCGCATCTCTCGATTTCTGAATAATAACAGTCAACGTTTTCAGATTATTGAAACATGCCCATTACAAACAACAACAACAAAATTATTAACTAAAATCAAGATCATTTTCTATATCTTTTATCGTAAATTTTTTGTTGTTAAGCTTTTCTGTTTACTAACAGAGATGCGTCAAGTTCACCCTGTTGTCAAGATTAGAGAAGGCGTCGCTAGAATACGCTGAACTTGCCACGAATGGAATTTGGACAATCGCAATGAAAACCTGGAATAACCTCTTCCTTCATTAAAAATAAACGTGCTTGTGACAATTTTTGTTTATATTTGTAAAAGACATGTCAAGATGACAACATTCGAAGACTTAGAGTTAAGCCCATGGATCTCGCGACAGCTGAACGCCGTCGGTATAAAATCGCCAACTCCGATCCAGAAGGAGTGCATCCCGCACGTCCTCCGAGGCGAGGACGTGATCGGCGTGGCGAAGACGGGGAGCGGTAAGACGCTCGCTTTCGCCCTGCCCATCCTGCAGACGCTGGCCGAGGATCCGTACGGGATTTACGCGGTCGTCATGACTCCGACGAGGGAGCTCGCCTTTCAGATCAGAGACTCATTCTTGGCCATCGGCAAGTGCATTAAACTGCGGCTGGTTGTCGTCGTCGGTGGTATGATGATGATGGAGCAGAGCCAGGAGCTGGCCCGTAAGCCGCACATTGCCATCGCCACTCCTGGGCGGCTTTTCGACCACCTAAATAGCTGCGACACTTTCCACTTTAAAAAAATGAAGTACCTCGTTTTGGACGAGGCTGACAAACTACTCGGAGGTAAGCACCAAAAGCCATCTATTTATCTTATTTTATCTTGTAAACTGATAGTCCCGAAGACTTTCAACTGTCAGTTTGCCTAAATTCAGATCTAAATAAACTGAACTGACTGTGTGGCCGCAGATCAGTTTTTCATCCAGTTTTTTTTTCCAATTTTTTCCTTTATGTTGTGAGTTTTCATAGATACTGGGGTAATTGCATCAAATTTTGAAGAGGAGGAAAATGAGAGCCAGCGCAGAAGAAATTAAGATTATGAATTAATATTTGGTTGAAAAAAGAACTTATTTAAACCTGCTTCAAGAATTTTACAGTACAGAATTCTGTAAGTTCTTATAATGTATGTAGGGAGACTGCATTTTCCACACAGTGTCAACTGTCAGATAACCGTGGGGAACTGAGGTCTCGGAGGTCATACCAAACATCAGACATTTTGCTAGTTAAAACTGTACGGTTTCTTCATCAGTTAAACTGAGCTTGCATGAGGCATTTTAAACACAGTTATTGCATTCAAAACTGTGTAAAAATACATTTGGCAATAAATGATAACATTACTGTTTTTTTTTTTTTTTTTTTTTTAAACGAGGGTTCGCAACAGCAGAGGTTATATCAACCCTCGGGGTGCCGGTGTTTTTGAAAAAAAGCCCATTTGTAAGTATGTCGGGTTCGAATGCAGGGCCGCTGGATTCAAACCCGGGACCTTTACCTTACAGTGATGAGCGCCGTGTCAATGCCTAAACTGTTGCGGCCACCGATGCCCCCCTAAATGAACTTTATTACATACTTACCTTCCATTATATGTATTTCTTCCTTGGTAGTTATAAAAGACATCCCAACTTTACCCTCTACCCTCCTTGCATCCTTTGCAGATGACATGCCCATGCTTTCCTTTGATCCCGATCCTGCAATCGCCTTAGAAGAGCTCCAGGCATACGTCTGACAAATAGCCGAATGAAGCAAACTTTGGAGGAAAAAATCACCCATGTTACATTTACCCTCAGAAGCAAAACCCCTCACACAATATTCCTCAGCAACATTACTATCCGTAAAACTGACTGTGTACACACTTAACCTGGAACCCACACATACAAACAAAAAGCCTAACAGATGCTTCGGACTTCTCTACAAACTACTCAGATGGAAATCTAACATGTCGATAAAAAAAAAAACCGACACTACAAAACATTACTGAAACTGATTTGTACATACGGACTAGAACTGTAGGGCACCACTAAACATACCAAAATCCAACAAATTCAGTCCTTCCAATCCAACGTCTTCGGAATCATAATCAATGCTCCTTAGTATGTCTCTCCAATACCACCCTCCACACCGACTTCAAAATTCCTTTTATAAATAAATTAACCCCCTACCAATTTTCACATTCCATGAAAAACTACCCTCATTTCCTGACACATTAGTCCTACAATCCAGTATGAAGAGCAGTTGGCCCCGGGGCCTCCTTAAGAATTGTTCATAAATAACTATTCATAATGCTGGGTGAGCAACAATGGTTGTTAGCTCCCCTCAGGATAAATATTGTACCAAATTACATAATGCATATAGTTATACAGATGGTAATAATTTTTAAAACAGTTATATGCTTAATAAAATACATATGTAAAAGTGAATTTTTATAGTTATGTTTATACGCTGATGGAGAAAATTAACGCACCACTCTTAAATTTTAATTGTACTTAGGTTTATTCATCTTTTGCATACCAAATATAGGTTTGGTTGTAAAAATAAGGCATTTAACAAGAAAATTTTTATTACTTAATTTTAAAAAAATTATTGAGTAAAGAAAAAAATTCAAAAACAAACTTTATGTCCTTTTTAATACCAAGTATTTCCACCTCTGGCACAAATCACAGCCGTTAAAATCCACATTCCTTGGAAAAGATTTCTGATAAAATCCTGAGGAATTATTTTCCATTCATCAAGAAGAGCTATATCTACTCTTCTAGGGTGTTAGGACCTGGGGGCCCAAATGTGATCGATCGGGTTCAAATCTGGACTTCAAGGTGGCTACACCAAGCACCCAGCTCCAACCTCATTCAAGTAATCATCCACAATAGATGCTCTGTAAGCCTGTCATTATCCTGCATTAGCAAGAATCTCTCACTGATGTGGGGGGCAAATGACACTACACGGCCTTCAATTATGTCTTGTAAGTAACTATAAAGTTAGAGATCTTCCTCACACAACAACCAATTCGGTGCAGGCATCCAAGGAAACACCACCCCAGAACATCAATGATCCACAGTGGAATGCCTCCTGAGGAACAATACAGCATAGGGCATCCCTTTCTCCTGAGTATATGAAATTAATCCCATTTGAAGATTTGAGGCCAACTTTCACCTCATCTGTAAATAGAACTTGTCCCCAATCTTCCAATGTCCAAGTCACCTGTGCAAATTGAAGCCTGGTCATTTTGTGAGCTATGGTAAGAAAGGTCTGCGACCCTGGTCCCAGGCTTAGATGATTTTCTTTCTTCTTACATCCCTGGATGAAATTGAAACATTTCTTATTGTCATCAGATTTCTTATCTCATTTTCCTTAATGCTGCGGTTTTGTAGAACCTGATGATGATGAATGTTTCTCTGGTCTGTAGATGTAGCCCCTGCACTGGCCTTCTACTGGAAGGGCATAATACTCATTTCATAGTCATTATATTAAACTCTTATGCAATTACATGTTCTTTGTTGTTGTTTGACTAATTGGTTGTTTGTATTTCAGGTCAATTTGATGAAGAAATGCTTGGAATATTTGCTGCTCTACCTGAAAGGAGGCAGACACTTATGTTCAGTGCAACTATGACAGATACGATTGACAAAGTGAAAGCAATTTCAAAGAAAGAAATGTTTATGTGGATTGAGCCAGCAACTGTGAAAACTGTTGACCAGTTGAAACAGTATTACGTTCTTTGTCCACAGTACGTTCGGGATGGTTATCTTGTCGAAACTTTGAGGAGGTACCTTGCAAAGCACGGTGAAGTGTCCATGATTATTTTCACCGACACTTGTCGTAATTGCCAGCTGTTGTCCATGGTCCTCCGTATCATCGGGTTTGAAAATGTCTCAATCCATAAAATGTTAGGGCAAAAGGATCGTCTGAGAGCGTTATCAAAATTTAAATCTAACCAGGTGCCGATTCTTGTCGCAACCGATGTCGCTTCAAGAGGGCTCGACATCCCAATTGTTGAATTGGTTATTAACTACACACTTCCAAATACGTCAAAAGACTATATCCATCGTGTCGGAAGAACAGCCAGGGCTGGAAGATCTGGGGTCGCCATTACTGTGCTGACTCCTAACGATATCAAACTTCTTCAGGAAATTGAAACGGAAATCAACATCAAACTGGAAGAGTATAAAATTGACAGTAAAGAAGTTGCAAAGATATTTACACAAATATCCGTCACAAAAAGAGAATGTGAAATAAGACTCGATCAGTCAGATTTTTATGAAAGAAAAGCCATAAATAAAAGGAAACAAATGATAATGGATGGAAAAGATCCAGAGATACAGGACAACATTTTGAAAAAGTTAAGGGAAACGAAATTGAAAAAGAGGAAAACAAAACCAAATGTTCAAACTGCAAGTGTATAATAATGTAATATATGTATGGTAGAACATGTACTGCAGCATGGAATTTTGTTTTTTAACAAAACCTTTTCATCCCCATAACATGTCATCAGAGTTAATTTACAATTGTCTATCCAGTGGACTTACTAATATATAAATATATTTTATATAAATAATATTTTATATATAATTTGTGTGGTGATTAGTGACCGTTAATCGATAATTATTCAGAAATCGTGAGGTGCCAATCCCAGGCCCTGAAGATGATCTCAATAAAGATCGAAACGTTGGCACGATAAAGAAATTTTTTTCTGAAACCTACATCACACCAGACAGTATCTCACGATTTCTGAATAATTATGTATATATATACATAATTTTTTTTTTCAAATTATTTTTTGCCATTGACTATCTCAGAGCTAAATATGTAACTCCCTCTCACCAACCCATGATTTTAAGATAATTGAAGGACAAAAGCTTCTGCTGATATTTTAGCCTTAAGAATCCAACATGATAAAAGATAATTTTAATTTATATATAATACCCAAATAATACAATATTTCTTGCAATTTGTTGTGCAAAGTTGATTCAAATTTAAGAATTTTTTGTACACCATATTTTAGTTGTAGGTGTTTGTTAAAAAAAGGTTTATTTTCCATTAATTTTCAATATTAAAAAAAAAAAACTTCAAATAACTTTTTGTAAGACAGGTTAAAATTGAGCAATAGTACTTTAATTATTAAGAAATTTTAAAAATCAAAACAGGTTTCAATTAGCACCATGTTCTTTTCACCAAATATATCATTTTATAGTTACTACAATGTTTGGTATTTTGCTGTGTTGAAGGTTTTGCAGAATCAACCAACAAAATAATGAGCCATGTGCCAAAATAAACATGTGAATTGTTATGATCACCATTAAGCCTAATAGTAGTATTACCCCATTTTATATATTATTATTTTATAATCAACTCAGTCACAACACGGGGGCCTTGTTTGGTTTTAATATTAACGTGATTCTGTCACTAAAAATACTATAGTCTTTGGAGCTTAACCAATACAACGCGACATGTCCCAACACCCATCTGATATACAATTTTCCGTAAGATTAAATTACTTCTGTGCACATTTACCTAACATGATGTAATGCCACTGTACGCTACGCGATACACTGAAGTTCCCCAGTCTGAGGGAATCACCGTATGACACTGCATAATCCCACATTTTTCTGTTCGCCGTTGCAAGCTAGCAGATTGCTATTTCCATGTCTTCCTCAAAGCTATCTATTTTGTTAATACTACTGTGATATACACCGTATTGTTTGTCATGTGGCATGTGGTTGTTTTGAACAAATGTGCACACCCCACAATGGGTCGTCGTGTTGCATTGCATCGGGTGTGTCCTTTGCTTGACTAACGGCAAATGATATTAAACAATCCACAGGAGCTGAGGTTAAAAAACAGCAGTATTCTGAAGAAACACCCATTACCACCACAAATACTTTTGTAAATCTAGAAAACATATCCTTGGTAGCCATACTGTAGGTTTGTCTAGGAAAGAGGATTAAGTCAATATACATGGGAAGTGGATTTTTCATAAACTAGTGCTCAAAAAGTTTATTTGTTACAATGTATGAACATTGGACTTTGTACAAACATAATTGTGAATAAATAATTATTTTATATTTTGTGTATAAAATTATAGTTTAGTTTATTGTAACACTATGCTTATTGTTCGAACTGCCCTTTATACAATTTCTATTAATGTTACTATTTCATTCTAACCTAATAAACTAAATGAATCTCTCACTCAGATAAGAGGAAAATGTTTTATAAATAATAGCACAACAAAGTTATGTATAAAAAATTAATATAAAAGCACACATAAAGCCTTCTTTTTTTTTCTTTGTAAATAAAAATTATACGCAATAAAACAGAGCAGATTTTCTCTAGCTCACAGTTTGTTCAAATTAGCCTCAATATACATCTAAGCATACAATCTTCTTATAGACAAACGAATGTTTTAAATGCAAACTTTAAAACACAAGATTCCACGAGTTTAATATTTTCATAATCGCTCTTTAGTTATAACCTATTTTATATTTATACACTCTTAATTATTTATCAGTTGGTGTTATTACTTACAAGGAGAGGTAAATGAGTACCTGCAAGACATGGAAACAAAATAAAAACTTTGTTGAAAGAAAAACACACATTTCAAATATTTCACATTTAAAGTACATAAGCCACAAATTGGCTGATGAAATATGAAAATTTATTGTAATATTCGCTCCTTTTACCACTTACTGGAATGCTAAATTTTTTAATGGATATAATTTGTTTATTTTGTTGAGTTAATCTGCTTTTCTTGCTTTACGCTTCCTAATAGCGTTAGTTTCAGTCGCTTGTTCATCGATGAGATCTTCTTCTGGGATCTCTTCATCGGCTTCATCCTAAAAACCAAGAATTATCGATTATTTGGCAATAATTAATTAGCCTAAATAATAAATCATTACCGATTCCTCAGCCACATCGTCACCGCCGCCTTTTTCAGATTTACCTTTTGGTGACTTTTGCGGTAATTTTGGAGGCCATATGTAATCAATTAAACAAACCATAATCTAAGGAAATATACAGAGTTAAAAACAAATCCGTCACAAAAACAGAAACTACAACTTACAATACAGCTAAAATAACATTAAGGCCTTTTCGAATACCAGAAGGAAGATAATGAAGAATGTCACCACAAAAATAATGAACGACGTCAATATAAGCAAGAGTATCATCATAAACATGAAGCATGTAGTGTAGAGCAAGATGACTAGCATCAGAAGCACTAAGACCGGCATTAGAAAAGAACTCATCGGGTGTAAGAAGAGAGACATAATAGCAGCGAACCACACCTGAAGCGAAAAATTGTTGAAAAAAAAGAAACTCCGAAACCAAGCACAACATGCAATACAAACTTCCTTCTGGATTCTAAAAGGATCTTTCCCAAAAATTTAAAATAACACTTACCATGCCGAGAAGAGCGCCCAGAAAAATTGTCACTAATGCAAAAATCAAGTATGAGCCCCATTGCGGTAAACCGTATTCTATAGTTAGTGTATTGTGTATCAACTGAAAATTGTATACAATATAGATAATTCTATTTATATTTTGCACATGTCATACTTACTCTTAGACCTTGAGATAATTTGAAGAAATAAGCGACTATTGACATTTGAACAGAAGAAGGGTACTTCCAATTTGAAATCGGCTCAACCGTTTTCCATTTTTGGTCTTCGACAAAAGACATAAATGACTCTCGATCTCTACTGCCTGTATAACGCCTGAATTCTCCATTAATTACACTAGAAACAATTTTTTTAAATATTAATATATATTATATTAATATATAAGAAAATATTTAAATATATTTTAAATACATGTCTTTTATAAACCACAAAACAATATTTTATTTTAGAATAATAAAATTTTAGAAACGTAAACATGAACAAATGAAAAATTAGTTTTCAAAAACGGTACAAATTATTTTTAAATATCAAAAATGTAAAGCAAAAAACAAAAAAGTCAGTTCCAAACACAAAACCTATAAGTCCATCATACTTGACTGTAATTCTCATTAATGCTCAGACAATACACCATTTGCAGGCAGTTTTGAAAAAAATTTCCTTTAAGAGTTTTTATTTTTTTTTAGCCAGAAGAGGGCAATTAAGTATTGCTTGTATAACTTATACATACATACAGCTGTACCAAATAAAAATTAGAATTAACAAAACACCCATCTAGAACAAAAAAATATAGCCTTATTTTTGCTGACACAGCATGCTGATCTCTGGTTATCCATGGTCTCAATTTTTGCATCAGAAAATCCACTTTTTATTGCAGATATTTTGTGGGTGCAATGAAATGTGGTTTAAGTTGAAAATGGTGAAAATAAAGTTAAATGCATGGAAAAATAACAATCACTTCAGAATGATAACTTTTTAATCAGAAAATTACATTTGTGGGAAATTTTATCTACTACTTAATGTGTGGTGATTAGTGACCGTTAGTCAAAGAGTATTCGGAAATCGTGAGATGTGGTCTGGTGTGATGTAGGTTTCAGAAAAATATTTTCTTTATCGTGCTAACGTTTCGATCTTTAATGAGATCATCTTCAGGGCTCAAAGTGTTTGTTTTCTGTGTAATTGTGCCATTCTTGTGTGTCTGGGCACTCTCAACACGTCACACAAGAATGGCACAATTACGCAAAAAAACAAACACTTTGAGCCTTGAAGATGATCTCAATAAAGATCGAAACGTTGGCACGATAAAGAAAATGACCGCATCTCACGATTTCCAAATAATCATCTACTACTTAATTCTTGAAAGAGATTTAAACATGATTTCCCGAAAATTAACGAACAGGATTGTTCTGATCATTAAAACTGTTACTATTTCTGAATTTTGTGCAATTGGCAATCTCACTTTAATGTGAACAAGGTTAAAACATCAAAATTCCACTTTTTGTAAAGGATTTGTAAAATAATGAATCAACATATTCATCCCACATCAATTATTTCTTTTAAAATTTTGTGTTTATGCAAATTAAATTAAAATACTGAGAAATGTTGAGAAATCTTTTAGTTAAAATCTTGGATCAGATATTTATCCAAAATTAGCCTCTGTGGTACAATGGTTCAAATTTTGTTCTGCATATTTTGGCATATTTGAAGAATACTGAAAATTTGAAAAAAAAAATTCAATTCTTAAAAAGATAAAAATAAATTAGGCAAATAAGAACATAAAAGAAAAAATGCAAGACTAAAATTTAATTCAGATTTCGGTTAACTTTCCAGTTCAATGATGTAAACTGACACAATAGAATTCTCATGAAATAATTGGCATCTTTTTTTGTGGCCCCTATTTCCAAAACTTGTAGGTGTAGTTTTTGTGTTTCCTGAATATTATTTTTCTAAAGTGGTCGGGTTGTGGAATTAGACCTCAATTGAACATAAACAGTATAGACAATTTCATATATTCAATCTAGTAAAACCTAAAAAAATGGAACTTCTTCTACCAGGTTGGATTTTCCCTTTCAGTGATAAACAGAAATTAATTAAAAAAATAATAAATAAATAAAAAAACAGAGATAAAGGAATTATGTTACAAGAGAATTAAAAAATATCGTTTACCAAATGGCAGAATGACTGAGTGGGGAAAAATTACTGAAATCTTAAATGGAAACAATAAAGTTGTTATACAGGGAATCAGTAATTTGAGTTCCTACAAATAGACTGCTCCCATCACCTCTGTCTGAAAATTATTACAAGTAAACAATATAATGTTAATTTACTAACAGAAAAAATTTAATGTCAGTGAAGGGGAACCTCTCAAATACCTAACAATAATAATAACTCATGACATCACTGGATGATAACATTGTTAAACTTTAACTGTAGAATAAATATTTGTTTTTCAGAAGCAAACACTACAAAAGACTATTTTAAATGGCACAATTCAAACAGTAATAGTTGTAACGTATGAGTACTTCATTAAAACTCGGACTATTTAAATACGGATGGTTGACTTTTGAATATAAATGACATGATAGAATTGGATGATAACATTGTTAAAAAACTGAAGGGTTCAATGTCAAACATAAAATATAAAATAACAATTACCATGCCAAGTAAAATTTGAAGTTTCATAAGGTCTACTTTATTGTTTAAAAGAAGACTGCAATGTTTACTTAATATGAGTGCAATTTTATTTTTTACTGCTGTCTAATTCAATCACACCCTGGCCTGTCAAAATTTATCATGCCGAAACTGCTTTGTCTGAAGCAGTTCAACTTCAAACTTCAGAAATTCAAATATTCAAAAATATATTTTTATATACATATATTTGTCATGGCTCAATGATCATGGCATTGGTTCATTCAGTGCACAATGAACAAGCAATCTGCATTAAAAATTTATTTTGGATGATGAAAAACACCTTGGCAATTTGGGCATTACAGTCAATAGACATTATAGCATATTCGGGAATGCAAAACAAAAACAAAAAATAAAACAATTCCAAAATAAAATTCTTAGAATTGTAAATAACACACTATGCTTTGTTAAACTGCAGTCTACACCGAATCCAATTGGTTTTTCTCTTAGCTCCAAAATCCCATCATAGGTTTCAATGAAAAAAGACACAGCATGTATATCAATTCATTGGATGAAAATGATGGTGATACGATGTTTGAGACATTCGATTGAAAAATGAAATTTGATAAAGGTTCTATGTATGTTCTGTGTTGACATATTAAATGCAGTCTTGTAGAACAAATTACTGGCTGCTAATGACAATGTTTACATGTCAGAATCAGAAAAAAAAGATGCATGACTTTTAATTTTTGTCGAATCAGTATAGAAAAAAATGGATGTGACTTCATACTTCATGTACTCATGTGTCATACTTTTATTTAAAGCAAGCCAGTAATCACAATGATCATATTTGTAATTATTTATATCAGGCCAAAGGTGGCTTATGTGCAACTAAAGGAGGAAGCAAGCCTGTCAATAATTATGCTGCGGCAGTATGGTCATGTTGTGAGTAGAAATTTGATGTTTAAATACGCATAACATCAAAAACTTTTGGAATTTGGTTAAATCAACGCACAATTAGAAATCATGAAAAACAGTGTGGAACTTTTTTTTTAATGGAATTCTGAGCCGTTGAGGGCAAAACAAAGGAACAAAGGGCATACTGACATTTTTGAAGGAATAAAAACGGAAAGGGCTAACTTACTGGAATATCGTCGGAAGCGCAGTTACCATAAATCTTCCGCTAAGTCCAGGGGAGTTGGTAATGTCGACTTGGGCGACGGAGACACCCAGATCTTTACTCCAGGTGGAAAATTCTTCCCAGAGTGGTTGAAGCGCTTTACAAGCCGGGCACCAAGGCGCGTAGCTAAAAATAAAAACGTTAACAGTAAAATTGGTCCAAACTAAGGGAAATAATACGCAGATTTTTTAAAACGGAGTTTACTCACAATTCGACCAACCATTCTCCGGTGAGCATATCGCTCCAGTTGTCTTCGTCCAGCCGGATCAGTTGCGATTTGGAGTAAGTGAGGCCGACGTTTCGACATATCAGGCCTAAAACTATTAAAAAACTAACGGAAAACGCCATATCAGACCCGGTTCTTTTCTATCAGTCGCATCCAAAGCTAAGAGGGATTCAAGCAAAAAATAATTTTCATTCCTGAACTCGGTCTGCGTGGTAAAGAACGAAAACCTTCAGTCAGGTGTGAAGACTCGATTCCCGACCAAGTTCGTTGCGACCGTACTATTTCGAATTCACTTCTATCCTAAACAAACTTTTCGTCAGTTAACTCTTTAATCCCATTAATTAAAAATGATAAAAAAAAGAATCTTTTTTCATAAATTCCATTGTTTGTTTTATTGGGCACAAGGCTGTGCAGTCAGTGCGCTTGAATTCAAAAGAGAATAGTGAAACTTGTGATTACACTCCACCACAAAAACTTAATTTTAATTTGTGTTTTTTCATATACTAAGTTTAAAGTTATTAGTTACTTTTTTTCTTGTTCATCCTTATCCGTCTATATATATTGTCATATACTTCTTTAAATATATTTCTGTAAAATATAAACGGTACATTGTTACCAATAAGTTCAAATTTACTACCCAAATTGTTTTGTTTTATAAAACGACCGTTTGTCCCTCTAGAATTGCATAAAAACTTATCCAGGCAGAGCCAACAACAGTTAAATTTGACCTGTGTCTGCACAGGGGTCTTTTTTTTTCAAATTAATTCAGGAGAATTTTCCAAAGTATCTAGTTTACTTTACAGAAAGCTACTTAGAGAATATAAAATTCCATGTTGTGGCTGGAAATCATTAAGATCTATCTCAGCTGGGGTACCCAGGGATCCGTTCTGGGACCTATTTTATTTAAAATATTCATCAATGATATAACTAAAACAAAAACTAAATGTAGTTATGCATTGTACGCAGGTGATACAGTATTCTTTATCTCGTCATATAAAATAGATACCATTGCCAATCATCTCTCCATAGTTCTAAAAAAATGCTTCAAATATTTTCACAAATGGCGGATTAGACCCAATGAAAATGAAACCAAAGTTATATTGTTTACTAAATGTTATAGATTTGTTGTAAACGGCAGAATACTCCCTTGGAAAAAAGAAATAAAATATCTACAGGTAATTTTGGATTCAAAATTAACATTCACTAAGTATGTTAATAAAGTGGGTTTCAAGGCATTGCACATAATCTGAAGTTATTCTCTCTCTTAAACAAGAACTCAAAGCTTAGCACAACAAATAAAAAATTTATTTATTATCTTTACATTAGATCAGTATTACTGCACGCAGCTCCGGCAAGGCCAAACATGTAATATTATTCTAAGTTACAAATAGTCCAAAACAAGTGTCTTAGGTTGATTGGTTCCTTTCTTAGGTGGACTCCAATAGATTATTTATATTCCATATTAAACCTTGCCCGTGTATCAACACAAGTCAATATTACTAAATATTTTGTTTCCTCCTGTGTAAATAATAGTCACCCACATATTAAAAGTATTGTAAACTTAATTATTCAGAAATCATGAGATGCGGTCTGGTGTGATGTAGGTTTCAGAAAAACATTTCTAGTATTGTAAACTATAATTTAAGCTCACTATAGTACAAAAGATATAAATATAAGCATTTAAAGTATAAAAAAAGCATTTAAGGTAACTCTTAAATTAAATGTTAAGGTTTTTTTATTTTATTTTTTTCTTTACAAATAAATAGTTCTTTTTACAACTTATTAGTTGATAGTATATATAGGCAGGGAGCCTGAGACATCTATATCACCCTTTTGTACATATTTGTATTTATTTGTAAATTCTTATTCTTATAGTTAAATTGTTTTCTTGTAAAAATGTTGCCAGTTGAACATTTTTGTCAGGAGAATTTGGTGTTCCATCTCTAGTGTTCCTTATGGAGAACAAAACTGTATAATTTAAAAACATTAACTTGATATTCATTTCAGGTAAAATTGAATTGTTAAATTGAAAGTTTGAAAGGTTTATAGTGGAACTAATGATAATTTTAATAAATTCAATTTGGGTGTTGACACGGCGCTCATCACTGTAAGGTAAGGGTACCAAGTTCGAATCCAGTGGCCCTGCATTAGAATCCAACATACTTACAAATGGGCTTTTTTCAAAAACACCGACACCCCGAGGGTTGATATGACCTCTGTTGTTGCTTGGTTAAAATAATAATATAATAATAAACGCCCTTAAAAATTAATAATAATAATAATAATAACTATTAAATATATATATATATATATATATGTGTGTGTCAGATAGTATGGTAATATTTACTTTTTATTTTTATGCCTTGGTACCTTTTTTACTTATTTTAATTTTTCACTTTTACATAAAGCAAAAACTTTTTAATCTGGGAGAAAAACAAAGTACTTTAGAATAAGTATCTTAATGGGAAGCAATCAATCATTGATATGTGCACTTATAAAATTTGATATTTTAAGAAAATCGTTTTGCCTTGGTAAAAAAGTGATAAAATCACAATAACATTCTACCCACTATCTTTAAATGTTAAATAACCTTTAAGATAGGACTAATGAAGTTTTTCATCAACATGAATAGTAAAAATAGTCTTTAAAATTATCATTAAAAGAGCAAAAACAGTTTGTGAAATTTCCCCTGTGGTCTGTGGGTATCTATACATTTGATCATCGCTATCATCAGCTAGATAACTATCAAATTATAAAAAACAGTTTGGTTTCACAGTCAGTTTGTGAACTTATCCAGAAAAGGATGCTTGTCTAAAAGTTGGTGGTGGATTGGGTGAATGAGTTTAACTTTAGTAACAATCCTACTCACATTATCCTCCCTGGGTCCGCCCAGTCTCGCATGTTTGTTCTGTTACTCAATCAGTAGTTATTTTATACTTTTACATGAAATCAATATATGTGGTTTTTATCAGTTTCAATAGATGAAACTCTTATTCTTTTTTGTAGTTTCGTTAGATTATAATCGTACGTTTAATTTTTAATTAATGTTTCGTAAAGCCCGCAAGCAAGGTTTTGTCTTGACGGTAGATGTCTCATCTTTTCAGACTGTAACAAAAAGATTACCTTCGAAATAAGTCGACTTATCAGTTATCATATTGTCAATATTAATTTTATTACTTTATCTGAAATACTTTATTTAAAATTTAGACGACATCGGTAAAGGGGAATTTTCCAAAATGATGACCGGCTACCCGTCTTCTAAGGTGGCCGTCAAAGACAGTTTCGACGAAGATGAGGCCAGCGACGACGTCGAGGACGAAGTGTTCATCCGGGATGGGAGGAACGGATTCAAACTGGACGAGGAAATGGGTGTAAAAAGGCCGTTGATGGCACCCAGGAGGAAGTACAAGAGCACTTTTCACCCGGAAATTATCAAAAGGCCCTTCTACAAAAGATTCTGTGTACCATATTGTTATGGAATGATTGCCGTCGCACTCATCATAGGTGACTTTTACTCCATGGCACACTGTGCATGTTTTCTCACTTCTAGCACAATTTTAACAGATCCAATTCATGCTAGTACATTCTTTATTTAACATCAACCCAACAAAGATACTACAACTCCGATCATAAATGTCAGAATAGCTTGATTTGAATTTATATTCCATGATTAGCATTTGGATTTATATAGTCTCATATCCGCACATGTACATATCAACATACAAACATGTGCCGAGTTGAGCCTATTCACACCTCCCAGTCCACCGGCAATTCCAGCTTTTGCTATTTACAATTGCCGGCAGACTTGAGAATCACCCACCCCCAGGTGTTGGCAGTCCTGGGGCAGGCCTCATTCTTAACCATCCAGCCACCGAAGTTTGGCTGGGGGGGGGTGCTGTCAACAGTTAGGTCAATTCAGCACCCAACGCATGCAGTTCCAGACCACGTTCATTCTTAAAAACATTCTCTCCTATTTACATACCATTCATTCAATTAGGGTAATGGAGTGCTTGATATTCCTCCATCATCCTTTACACATACTATACATCTAATATGATTGAGGGATGATGGAGTACTCGATATTCGACAACACGAGCTAGGTATACACAGCTGTTATTACTACATACAATAGAACAGCCCCGTTTACTCCAAGAATCGGAAGAGGGGACCCAAATATTCACTGCTGTTCTCAAGCACAATTCTCAATCGAGTAGCATTCCAGTGTGCTCTCTGAATTGTACTATTTTCTTTAATCAGGTGGGACATACCAAACAACCTTTCTCTACAAGCCGAACATATATGTGGGCTATAGCCCAATAGTAAGTGTCTATGTGTCATCCTCATATTCCATGATTATTGATCCACTTTTTACTAACTATTTATTCTTCTTGTCTAATATTTTTTCTTTATTTCCAACTCACTCATTTGAGTACAGTTGGTAGAGACGAACGGAATTGTTTTGTGCACAAAGTATAAGTGTTTGCATTTTCCAGTTAAATTTAAATGGTAGGGATAAAACAAGTGCCCACAGGGCCTTCTGCACCTCAACCTGAGTAGATCTATTGTGCTCCTCGGTTTTTTATAACTCACTGTCCAACTTCAGGTTGTTAATCAACCTCTATAGCCTTGATAGTGGGCTCCTTAGTGTAGGACCTTGCTTGCGGCTTTTCCTCTCTTAGTTGCAGGAATCTGCATGTACAAAGATCAATTTAAACAGTATTAATGGTCATTTGCTGTCGCCTTGCTGACTGTATAAAGATTCTATTTCATTGCACCCTTAAATTCCTAAAAAAAATTTGAAGTCTATCTATCATTGTTGTTATGATCTGTGAAATGTGTCCCAACTGAAATCTTCAATGGAGGTTTAAAAAAAATCATTACTAAAATCAGAGAGAATAGACTGTCCAAAAAGATGGTGAATGAGGAAACTTTCACCTTTTTCCAGCTTTTTGAAAATTTCCAGCGTAATTGTCTATGTATGGAATAAACCCTGGACTGTTGCTGCTTGCTTTCTGACTAATTGCAGTTATTAAACTAATAAGTTCAAATTACTTCAGACTAGCCGAACCTCACTATAATAGTTTTCATTTGTACAGAGGTTGTAAAATCATGGTCATAAGTGTTTTCAGACTTTATAGCTTTCTTTATTCGCATATATCTCTAAATATGGAAAGGAGGAAAGGCCTCCATTATGGCCAAAGGTATATAATTAAATTTAACAGATCTAGTCTGTATAATTTATTTGTTTAGAGTAATGTTTTGCAATTTGTTTAAATTCAGAAGAATATTATCCAATAGGTATTATTTCAACCTATAACATTATAAATTCAATACCAATTAACAAAATATTATGAAAACATGTCAATGGTATTTATATAAATGAAATTTTTTTATAAAGCCATAAATTTTATTTTATTTCTAGGATTCGTTATGGGGGCTACACTGTTCCTGAACCTGTTCCCATCTCCATTATACAATTTTAGACTCTGGTCCTTGAAAGCTCCCAAGGCACAGCTTAACATAATTCCATGTTCTGATTTTACTGGGAAGGACATCTGGTACAAAACATTTCCCTGGATGAAATCTGAAGCAGCTCTTGTAATGGTCGATGTAAACCAAGATGGGATTGATGATGTTATAATCGGTTATTCGACAAGTAATGTATAATTTGGAAATGTATTATTTTATATTTTTTTAAAACAGTAGTTGAATATTCTGCTTAAGAAAAATAGTTTCTTATTAAATATGATGCATGAGAGATTTTGCTTTCGGATAGTGATAGATAAATAGATAATGTAGTTTATTAATGTAAACATATCAAATATTCTTTAGAAAAATAATTTATAGGAAATACAAATGAGCCTTGAAAAAGTCTATCTGCTGTTTCGGTTATAATTGCAGCTTATTTCTAAATTTTTTCCCATGTGAATTTTTTTAAGACCAAATTAATTAGCATTCATATAGAATAATCATTTAATTTATATTATATTTAGTAGTGGTAGTATACATAATTGTACTTATACTCCAATTCAAAAAGGAATACTTATAAATAATATTCATTATAAATTATAATGGTTAAAATAGTACAAAATTATAATTTTATTTTCATTTAACTGCAAAACTAGTTTGTGACTAGAGATATGTTTTTCAGCTATACAATTAATACACTCACTATTATAACTTTTTTTGTCATAATTGCCCCATAACAATTTTCTGTAATGCAAGTTCATGTTCATTTGTTTTTAATTTTTAAAAACACTTTTTCAAATCAGTATTAGTTTAAGACTTTTAGATTATCTTAATTAGTTAACTAAAATAAAGCAACATTTTATGAGTTTTTTGAAATTTTTCCGCAAAGTTTGCACTACTATTCTTAACAAATACCATTATTTATATCTATTTGTTCTGTATTCATGATCATAATTAGTAGGAACTGGATTTATATTTTTTTCCTAAGCCTCATATACGGTTTTTTGTACTTTTATTTTGTTTCATGCAATTTAGAAGCAAATTATGTAAATAGTATTTTACTTTGCATTTATTATTACATATTATGACTATTATATTATTACATAGTTGGATGATTTTATATGTTGTAATTACATATTTTACCATAATTTACATATTTTGGTCCATGTTCAACAGAATAAACAAAATATTTATTTGAAATTAAAAACCAGACAAAAAAATGGGAAAAATGGAAGCAAGATTTAGGGGATTAAAGGTTTCAAGGCAGAAACAAAAAATTTCCAGAAACACCTGTCCATCCTCGCATTAAGATATGCCTATTGGGAATCACACCAGATTGATAAATAATTATAATTTTTCTTTCTTTCGATTAAAAAGTCACATAATAAAAATTAAAAATGTACATTATTCCAAATAATTTTGAAGATTAATAAAACACAGACACCCCAAGGGTTGATATGACCTCTGCTATTAAAAATGTTAAAACTTAAAAAAAAGTTTTACATGTTTCAAATACATAATACAATTATCCTCATATAATTCTTTAATCATTTGAAAAATGCATGGCTAATAAAAAATGATTTTGATTTTACAGTTTTTCTTTAGCAGTATAATAAAATATAATTATGAAAATGTAAAAATGTACTTTTAGTTCACTATATTTTATTTTACATATAAATTCAGTTCCTAATAATTAGTATCAACATGATTTCTTTATATATTTTTGTTTTATTTTATGTGTAAGTTTTTATTTTATTTTGAATCCTTTGTGTGTATTTACTTGTTTATGTGTGTTTTCTGTATATTTTTTCAGACATGCTTTTTTTTATTCCCTTTGTTGCCATTTATTTCTTTTTTCCATTTTGTTTACAAAAACACTTAATATGGTAAGTTGCATTCAGCGCTCATTAATAAAGCTAAATTATTGTTAATATTATAACATTATGTTTTAAAATTATGCAATTGTCTTTATTTAGATCAACACCCGGGATCGTGTGTTGAGTTTCCAAACGCTAAAGATGTTTGTGGTGGTGGGGTTCTAGCCCTAGATGGAAAAACAGGAGATACTTTATGGCAACATTGGACCCACAAAGATGTTCTATTTGTTGACTGTTCTGCAGATATAAGTTCGGATAAAATAAAAGATTGCCTCATTTCTGGAAAGGGAGGAGTAAGTCTTTTAATTACAATTTTATTTGGCAGTTTAATTTATTTTTTATTTTAAGGTTTTGACAGCAACTGATGGGAAAACTGGAAAATTTATATGGGGAAAAAGTCCACCAAAAGAATCTAAATTGATAGATTTGTATACAGCACAGTTTATTTCTGATATAGATGGTGACAAATATCCTGATGTTCTAGTATCCCATACACTTTCAAATTCAGGTATAAATTCATTATATCAATTATCATATATGTAAATTAATGTGAAATGTAATGTTGATGTAAAAGAATTAATTGTTTACCAGTTCTTCCTCATTTTATTTGTTTTTCCACAATTTTTGTGTCATTTAAATTTGATTTTTGGAAGAACAAAGACTGGAATTAGGTTCTTTTTTCATGCACCATTTATCTTTGTTTGCTTGTGAATAAGTGTAACTTAATTTAAGTATATTTCTTACCCTGTTGAAAATTTCTGTCCTTTTTAAATATTCAGTGGTACATATAATGCATTCCACATTATCATTTACCTCATTGATAAATTGTCTGTTTGTAACTACATAAATACTACTCATAACAAAACGGATTTTTTTCTTTTATTTTTAAACGAGCAAGTAACTTTGAAAATCTTGAAATAGGTCAGTTAGCCGTGTTGAGTGGTAAGACAGGAATAACTCTCGGCCATTTGGACACACCCGATGATGAAGGCATATTCACGGTGCCAAGAGTGACCGTGTCCAGGGATGGTTCAGACGTTGTGCTTTTTGCAACTGGCTCTTCTGAGACTTCAGGGACTTTGTTTGCAACTTTACTTTCTGACATATTAATTGCCGGGCCGAAGCACTACTCAAATGTTTGGAAAAGCGATGTTGGCATCACTTCCGGGATCGTTTTGGCAGATATGAATAGAGATGGAACGGAGGATGTTATACTGACAAGTGGTGATACTTTGTCCGTCCTTGATGGAAATGATTACAACCCTTTATGGAATGTTTCTTTAAATGGTTTTGATAAGAATCAAAGACAAATTTTAATGTAAGTTTTTAGTAATTTATTTTATTTTATTTATTTAACCAAACTAGCATGGCAATAAAATCATCAGCATTGGGTTTATTTAGGTTACAATAATTAAAAGTTAAAATGGATTTAATTATTTCTTTAATTATTCTTCTATTACTTCTTTCTATATATCATTAATCATGGTAAATTTACCACAATCATAAAAGATGAGAAGATGCATTAAGGGATAATAAGATTTTCTTAAAAAGTCATTCAGTATATAATAATAATACTGTTTATGATCAATTTGTTTAGTGGCCCAACTCCTGCTTATTTTGATGATGATCTTATACCTGATCTCCTCGTTACACACATGGTCGGTTCTTCTTTTCCTGCAATTTTTTACTCACAGGTAATTTATTTCTTACTTTTTACCCTTTTTCGCAATCATGTTTAGGAAATTAATAGAACAAAAACAAAAATTCCAGACATGGGTTGCAAATGGAAAAGACGGTGTTGGACTCCTAGAAGAGCCAATACTCGGTGGGAGCGAAGTGACTGCCCCTGGAGTTGCAATTAGCTTCACAGGAATTGGCAATGACATGTACCTTTTTTGGATGACTACATGCAATAGCATTGCCAACCAAAAAAAAAGTTTCCAGTTTTTAAAAGGCAAGTCTAACTAGCCGTCCAAATGTTTTATTATTGTGATCAACTTTGATTTTAGAATCAGAGATTCATAAAAATGCAAGAGCAGATCTGTGTCGTCTTCGATTCAACAAATCTCTTGAGATCCAAATGTATGTTCTCAACCAGCATATTAAACCCCCTGGAGTTCTTCTTTACTCCTCAAGTATGTATTTGAAATTGAGCACTTTTGTGAGACTGTCTGATCATATTAATATTTTATAGAATTTAAATGGGAAATTGAGCATAATGTAACAGAGCATAAGATAAATAAAAAAGTACTGCCAGAACCACCCAAACATCTGACTCGGGACCATGGAGGAATGGATAAACTGGAAAAGCTGAGAAAACAACAAGTGGATAAAATATATCAAGCAATTCCAAAGAATTATCCTTTGTATGAAACAGGTAATGTTTTAAAAATGTTAAGAAGTTACAAGTGATGTTCTATTATTATATTTCTTACCTGGGGTCAGAAATTAAAAAGAAACAAACATTTCCATTTAATACACTTTTGTCTCTACATAGTTGTAAAATTAGTAGGAAGACAGAATAAAGAAAATACACATACAGGATTATTTTGGTTGTTTTATTAACACATTAATGATTTATTTTTTCAGTTGATGAAGATAGAAATTTATTAAATGCTTTACCAAGATTTCCTGAGTCAATTGCTTCAGAAGCTAAAGATTTATTAACCAATAATCTGTAAGGCTGTTTAATCTGTTATTCCAAACTATTTCGTCATAACAATTCACTTGATTTCAGCCCACCAATTAGTCTCGACTATGATGTATATTCACAAGACCTGGACCCTGAGGATCCTTTGTTCTCCAGGACGAACCAAAGGCATGGAGAGGTATATGACGGTAGGGATGAAAGGGCTGATTTTTTAAACCGGAATTTGGAGATGGACAAAATTTTACAAAACGATAAAAACCAGGAAGAAAATCGGGAAAAGAGAGAAACAAAAGATCACAAAGATGGTATTCCACGGGCGACTACAACAGGTTGGTTAAAAAATTAAACAAACCTAATAATTATGGATCAAACAATTGCCTTGCTTGTAGCTGCTTTGGCTAACCCTATTGATGGAAATGGAATTGATATCATCTTTGCAACACATTGGATAATGCCGGCTTCAAATGTAGTGATACTGTCTGAAAAAGATGATAGGTGTATAAAGAAAAAAACATCTAAGAAACAATCGAGTAAGTTGTTAAATCTCTTTAAAATAAACGTGTTTCTCACTTTTTAAGTTAAAAATAAATAAATAATAAAAAAAGAAGAGAAAATGTGGTCCCTTTCTCTAAGGCCCTCCATACACTGGTATACTTGAATACGATGAGACTGCACTGCAACCTATGCTCAACCTAAATGTGTGGATATCCATACATGAATCTATTTTTGTTGAATCTACTTGTGTCTTGCCAGGAGGGTTCTCATACATATACAGTTTTTTAAAGGTTGTGTAATGAGTAGTTCAAGTGATGAGGAGGATGGACATTGTCATATTCTTCTGGTACCGTCAAATGAAAAGGAGGCGAAGAAAAGAATAATCCGTACAATCAATTATTGATTAAGTCATGGAAGAAAAACAACTGTATGGACTTTTGGCAAGTCGGCAGAAAAAGTTTAAGTACTCAGTAATCCAGTATGATGCCAAGACCTGAATAAGATCAATGGCATAATTAGAGTAGTTTGTATTCTTCTATGTTCTAAGTTAGAAAAAAAAAATGGCTCACAATAGACTCCACAAATGTTGGAACGAAATCCCCGTGTCACTGGTTACATTTACCCGAGTGATTTTGTGCCAACATGCATAAATAAATGCTAATCCAAAGTAAATTCTTATAGAGAACATTATCCCATTATTTTGTAACTCCAATAGCATTACTACCTGGACACTGCTGTTTTTAAATGGCTAAATTTTAAATTAATTGTTTAATATTAAATTTAACTATTGTTGTTAATTCATTAGTTTTCGTGGTCCGCTTGACCAATTAATATCTTTCAATTAATTAAGGTTTTTAGTTGAGATAAAAGCAAGTATCATGAGCGGGATTTGAACCAACGATCTTCGGCTTGATACGCCGCTACTCTACCATTAGAGCTATCGAGACTTCGATCCACTTGGACACTAACTTCCCATCTCAACCCCACCTTTTGAATTTTCCCTCCTTTTTGCCATTTTTCAAATGTCGTGTAATCTATTTGATTCTCGGCGACAAATGAAATGGCCACGGAGAGCTTTAGTGAAGATATACTTCATTTTAACTTATTAAATTCACTAGTTTTCGTGGTCCGCTTGACCAATTAATATCTTTCAATTAATTAAGGTTTTTAGTTGAGATAAAAAAGTCAGTGTCACGAGCGGGATTCGAACCCACGACCTTCGGCTAGATACGCCGCTGCTCTACCACTTGAGCTATCGTGACCTCGATCCACTCGGACACTAACTTCCCATCTCAACCCCACCTTTTGAATTTTCCCTCCTTTTTGCCATTTTTCAAATGTCGTGTAATCTATTTGATTCTCGGCGACAAATGAAATGGCCACGGAGAGCTTTAGTGAAGATATACTTCATTTTATCTTATTAAATTCACTAGTTTTCGTGGTCCATTTGACCAATTAATATCTTTCAATTAATTAAGGTTTTAGTTGAGATATTAAAAGCAAGTGTCACGAGCGGGATTCGAACCCACAACATTCGACTAGATACACCGCTATTCTACCACTTGAGCTATCGTGACTTCGATCCATTCGGACACGAACTTCCCATCTCAACCTTACCTTTTGAATCTTCCCACCTTTTTGCCATTTTTTAATTTTAAAAAAATCCGGGTTCGAATCCTGCTCGTGACACTGACTTTTTTATCTCAACTAATAACCTTAATTGATTGTTTTTAATTTTTAAATGTCTACACCGTAATGTACCTAGCTAGTTGAATTTTATTATGTACCTCCTTACTTAATTATGGATGTATATTACGTGTATATGTATGTAAATATACGCATACTATGTATTATCGTTATTTACTTTTTTATTCATACAGAAGGTTCTATCAGGTACAGAAGGTTGTAATAATTCATGAAACTCATAAAAAACCTCATTCCACACCTTCACACTTGTGTCCTTGATGGACTAAGCAGGGAGGGTGTAATTGTACAATTCAGGAGGCTTTTTCACCTCTTGAACAAATTTTATGTTTGACGCCTCCATGGGACACTAACCCATAACACACAACTAGCTCGATTTTCGTAGAGCACTAAGAGACCCATAAGTGGCTGCCTGCCTACTTGCACAGGAAGTAGTGTAGTGACAAAAGTTGCATCGAGCGTGCATCAACCCACATATGGAGGGCCTAACATGCACAAGACCAAACTTTGTATTGCTTAACAAGTCTGATCCTTTTTTAATTATAAAAAATAAAATGTTATTGCTGTTAGAAAATGTAGTACAGCTAATACATAATTACATGTAGCACAATTACGTCACCTTATAAATCTTAATAAATATCTTGCAATTTTTAGCATTACAATTTACATCTTGAATAATTAAACTGCCTGTATTCTTTTAGATAATTTAAAAGTCTTCAATGAAATTAAAGAAATTGCTCAAAAAGAGTGTCTTGGATTGTCAGACGATGAGTTTGAAGAGAAGGAGGACTATGATGGTGTCGATGGCCAATTGACAGTTTACAGAATAAACTTGAGCTGCAAGTGCTCTAATATAAACCCGAGTATGGAAAAGTGCTCGACGCCACTTCCCCTTGACCAACAAAGCTATTCACACAGGGCCACTAACGTCTATTTCAAGCAAAGGCACAAACCAGCATTTCGAGTTTAGTCCAATTTAAATTTCTTTTAAATTAAAATAAAAGTAAATTAGGTTTAAAGTAATTTGTTTTTAATCTTTATATGTAAATATCAGATTTGTAAATAATTAAAAGTTTAAAAAGAAATGTTTTTGTTTTGTTTTTTCAATTTAATTACTGTTAGAGTTTGTTAAGAGATTAATTGCTTAATGGAAAAATTGTAACTTTGGCAAACGAAGTTTTATAATTTAAACCTTTATTATATCACACTACTAAATTAAGTGAAAAATCATTACAATTATTTGGCAAAAAATATTGTAATTCACCCATTCCACAAATAATATAAGTATATTTTAATTGTATTATTTTTTATTCTTCCTGAATCTAATTTTAAAAATAGGATGTAGCCTTATTATAAATATACTAGTAAAACTAATACATTTATTAAAATCATCCCAATTAATTATTCTTTTTATCTCAGGTTTTTTGACTGAGATGAAAAATTAGTGACACGAGTGGGATTCGAACCCACAACCTTCGGCTAAATACGCCGCTGCTCTAACCACATGTGCTATCATGATTTTGATTCCCTCGGACACCAACTCCCCTTCTCAACCTACAACTGTTCAAATTAATTAAAATCATAAGGCGATCTCAGTTTTGGCTTATGAACTACCAGAGTTAGGGAAGCCTTGTATTTGTGCGGAAGTCGAAATAATTTTTCCCCTCCAAAATCGAAGTTTCCACTCACATTTTTTGTTTCAGACCTTTCTGAACAAATTTTTTTCTGTAAATGTCTGTCTTTGGTCAATCCCTTTAACAGCAAAACTTTGAAACCACGAGACCAATTTTTATGAAATTTTAAGAGATTATGCGGGTTGGTTTCTAGATGGTCCTATATGAATTTCAACAGTATTGCCAGAACATGCACAAATGTAAAATCCCGTACACAGCTATATCTAGAAAACTATACACAGATTTTGATGAAATTTGCAGGGTTTATGCAAGTTGGTTTCCAGATAGTTCCCTATTAATTTCATTGCAATCAACCGATACCAACAATATCGCCTGTGTATGCACAAACATACGTACACATCTATATCTCAGAAACCATTTGTTGGATTCTTATGCAATTTTCTGGGATTATGCTCATAGCTTTCTAAATGATCTACTATGATTTTTTTTTCCAAACATATGTGGTTGCGCATGCCCAAAATGTGAGAAGCTATACTGCCCACCCACTTGGCAAACATTTTGTTTTATTATTTATTTTTATCTCACATTTGTTCTATTACCTCTATCTTGGATGTTTAACATGATTAAATTGTCCTAAATCAATTAAATTACATATTCATGCTTTTTAAAAGATTATCTAACCTAAGTTTGGCAGATCTCAAGAGTTCTTGATACACTGCTGAGACCCCCTCTTACAACTACGCTATTTATCTATAGCCTAAACCAGCAGTTGGGAATGATTTTCACCTTGATATCCTCTTTCATTCATGCTAATAAATACATTCATACAGTAAAAATTATGCATTCACTATCCTGATTGGTTTGAAATATCTGTGGGTATTCTATACTACTGGCTATTTGTAAGTCACCAGGGTTATTTGATATTACCACCAGTGACCCCCCCCCCAATGCTAATAAACACATTCTCTCAAAATAAGGATATTATTATAACATATGTATCAGGGCTATATAAAAGCTTCAAAATATTTTATATTATTGAAAATTGTTGCTGTTAGTTTTAATCTTAGAATTTTTAAACATGTTTATTTTGTTTGTGAAAAATTTCAAAACTCCTTCACAAACTTTATTTTCTGTACCTGAATGGTTTGAATCTCCAAGAGAGATTTTTAAAATTAAAAATCCAATTGAATTTATTGTTGAGGAATTAATGAACTGTGACAGTCGCATTTTTAAGTAAAAGGGATCAAATAAAAGTACAATAATTTTATATCTACAAATTTGTGATTATTAATAAGCCTATATTTGGTGCCTTCAAACTTAATTTTTCTCAATATTATATTATACAATGTTATGTAAATAATAATTTTTCTACATTTAAAACACACGTGTAATACATAAGATATATTTATATAAAATATAATTAATCTTATGATTCTTCCTTCTTGAAGGTGGGATAATAGGTCATCTCAAAAAACCGGTTGTTTTTTTTTTCAATTTCAAGAAGGAAGAATCATAAGATTAACTGTTGAGGTCAAAATATAAGAAAACATCGTTAATATAATTAATAATAGACCATATACGTTTATCGGCTTCAGGTATTGTATCATTTTTTGTTTCTTTATTTTAAAGGATTTATGATCTGCGCATATTAAGCAAAGTTTGAATCAATTATTATGTGTATGCATATTAGGGAAAGGATAACTGCTCGGCTACCGCAGTCCCCCTATAACCATGTGCCTTAGAAGTTTAAACACGTTGGATTCTTTCATTATTAATTTAAATTTATTGTTAATTTAATATTACAGACAGAAGGGAATGAGAGAACAAATAATAGCTAGTTCTAAGGTCCCAATGCAGTTAAGAAACAGAAATTTTAAATTAAGATTTATTTTGATATACCAGGTATAAAATATTACAATATATTACTATACTACTAGAAAACAAACAAATTTATGCTTAAAAAAATAACCTCTCTGATATACAATGCAATAATATTTCAATATTGGACCAATTCCTGATAAGTTTCACAATTTTGCAAACACTGGCGGTGAGCTTCTTGTCGCTTGTGCGACACTAGCGTTCATAAAATCTTCACTCTGAAGCATTGTCTGATTCCAGTCAGCCTTAAAAACATTTAAAATAAAATACATTTCAAGTAAACAAGAAAATAAATTTTAAATTAACCTACAATGTGGTCTAGTCCTTCTTGGACAGAGTGATCACGAGAATAAACAAGACTCCTTTTAGTGCCCTGCACTGCAAGGGGGCTCTTTTGGGCAATCTCATCTGCTAATTGAACTCCAAACTGCATCATGCTGACAAAAGCATTATTATAGTTTTTTTTTGTTTCTTTTTAATGATTATAATTACATTAAAGTACCTTTCTTTGTCTTTAAAAACTCGACTGACCAAACCAAATTCTTTGGCCTCTTGTGCCTCTAGTTTCCTAGCAGTGAAGGCCAATTCATTAACAAGGCTGGTATTGCCGGTTACTTTCGGCAGCCTTTGCAATGTCCCGACATCAGCAGCCATGCCTTGTAAAAACAATAAATAGTACTATAACCCTTATTTTCATAATTATTTTGTAAACCATCTGAATACACATATGGCTTGTTTACAAAACTGATACACAAATTCATTACACACACACACACACACACACACAAATACACAGAAAAGAACCATGGGTCACCTATGTCAACTTCTTTGACTTGGAATATGGCATCCTCAGTGCAGTACCGGATATCAGCTGCTGTTATGAGATCAACTCCGCCTCCAATGCAAGCACTGTGGACAAGGCTGATGACTGGTTTTAAACACTGAAATATAAAAAGTACAAACCAACACAATGGCTGTATAAGTAAGTTTTTTACTATAATTTTTATCGCACAAAAGCACAAAATTCCCAAGTGTAATTAATTAGCATTCATTCAGCGACAAAAAAAAAAAGTAAATAAAATTTGGTATATCACACTTTTTTTTTAACGAGGGTATTTCAACTACGAGGTTATAAGACCCCTCGGGTGTTTTTGAAAAAAAAAAATTGTAAGACTTAAAGGACAGACAATTCTAATTTTTTATTATCATTAAACCATTTACCCTTTAGTGGTCAATTGACCAATTTACTTCTTTCAATTAATTATTCTTTTTATGTAAGGTCTTGGTTGAGGTGACCTTTGGCTGGGTTCGAATCCTGCTCGTGACACTAACTTTTTTATCTCAATACATAAAAAGAATAATTAATTGAATTATGATTAACAATGATTCTGTGATTGAAGGGAATTGTTGTGACAAAATTGTTAGGAGTCACTTATGTATGAAAGAGTTAAATTTCTGGCATTGCTTTTTGAATTTTTTTATTTTTTATTTTGATTTATTTGCTAATTTGAATTGAGCAAGTATTGTAAAGTGGTTTATCCACTTGTATGTATTTAAAATGTCCTGATGGGTATTTTAAATTAACCCCGTGCAATGATTATTTTTTTAATTATTAATTTTGTTTCAATTAATGAATTGTTTTAGAAGCATTTTGAAAAACACCAAGCAAGCAAGAAAAGAGAAGAGTGTAAATTAAATAAAACAAGAAAGATTTTAAGAAGTTAAAATAAATAGAAATGTGGAAAATACGTAAGTATTAATATATCAGACAAAGTAAATTTATCTTTATATAATTAATGGTACTCAATTGTTAATTGTTATATTATAACAGTCAATCTGTTCAATGCCCTGGCAATACCATCTTGAATTTCAATTATGAAAAATATCATACAATTAATTAAGGTTTTTAGTTGAGATAAAAAACCTTAATTATTGGTCAAGCGGACCACCAAACTAGTGAATTTAATTATGAAAAATGTTTCTTTCCAACATACAAAACACTTTCCTTAAGGTGATGTATTACTCAAAATAGGTAATCATAATGAGCAAGGCCAAGACAAGAAAACCGACATTGTGAAAGATTGGTATTTTATCAATTTCAGAATATTTTAGCTTGGTATTTTTAACAAGGAGCAGGCTGATAATATTTTTTATCAATGTATCCCTAGCTAGTTAAATTTCTAAAAAATTTAGAATCGTTTTTACAAAATCTACGTTCCTTGCTTACCTTTTCAAGTGAGGTGATGCTATTTTGATATGTGACAATCATTTCCTTTAAGATTTTGCACCTTCGGGCCACATCTTCAAATTCAGCCAATTTAGGAGCGATTTGGGTCATTGAATTGAAATCAAGACCTTAGAACCAATACAAATTATATTAGAGTAGCATGAAAATTTTTGAATTAAATGAAATTAACCATTTTGAAAAACCTTGTTTTAGGGAAACTATCTTGGATGATGTCAATAAACAAAGCACTGGGCTGTGATCCATGTTTTATGGTAATAATTACAAGTATTCAATCATTTCATTATAAAAAAAGTAATTTAGAAAGCTTACCTGCGGTGAAAACCTTCCCAGCAGCAGACAAAAGTACGACTCTGCAGTCTTCATCATTATTTAGAGAATTGAAACACTGTCCAATTTCTCTAAGTAGAAAAAGAAAAATTATTTACAAACTGTTTTAATCCATTTCCGTCCATTTTTTACATACAACCACATTTCATGGCTCATTGCATTTAGTTTATCTGGTCTGTTTAGCTCAACATGGTAGACAAAAGGCTTAGGTGAAGAGATTTTGAGCGTTGTATAATCGGTTGCAGTTGACATCTTGTTTGCCTGTGCTAAAATAAAAAATGTAATTTTATACATTTATTAACTACCTGAAGTGAACTTTGATACAAAACCACTTCCTGCTTTGTGTGAATAAATTGTTTAAAGAACTCAATATGCCATGTAGGGGATAGGGATAGCGATAAATGAGATGGCCACAAGGCCTTCCGCACCTTGACCTGAGATCTGTTGTGATCTTCTATTTTTTATACCTCACTGGCCAGCTTCAGGTTGTTTATCAACCTTCAAAGCCTTGACAGCAGCAAGTTAGTGTACGATCTTGCTTACGGTTTTCCTCTCTTAATTGCAAGAATCTGCACCTACATAGAACCTCACAAAAACATAAAATGTGTTGTACATTGTCCTCTTCTTCCTGGCAGTATCTGCAAAGTATTTCTTCTGTCAGTACTATCCAGTGAATGTGCCTTCATGGCAGCAGCAAGTCAGCAGACCAACCAGAATCCTGATTCTGGTGCGGTAAATGGTTGCCTTTCACAGTAATTCCTTTATAATCCTTTAATTCTTGCAGATGGCTATTCTATTAAATCTTCGCATCCCTCATGTCCTTTTTTATGGGGGGTTCGGGACCAAGAGAATTTATATTCACTCCCTTTGTGGCCAACAAGACCACTTTCTTCTTGCCTCTATCTCCCGAATGCCCAGGGACCCATGCCAGTGTTGCGAAAACACTGGCCAGGAGATGCATGACCTCTGCTGTCGCATACCCCGTAAAAAAATAATACATAATAATAATAGTCAAGGCTGCATTTTAATGTGGTACCACTTTCCTGTCCATGAACTTAGGTTTTTATTTATAAATTTCCACTCAGCACAATCATATTGATGCTGTCTAAATATGTTGCTGTTAAAAGTATTATTTATGCAATTCTGCCATTTCTTACAAAATCTACTATTTCTGTTGGTGTGAACTAAAAAGGGATTGTTCTGACACGAAAGAAAAAAAAAATATTTTTTTTAATTACCAGCATTGAGAAGTAGCCTCGATGATGATTTCAAAAACATCCCGTACCTGCTCAGCATGACTGTTTATTATTAATCTTTACAATTAACTGTAAAAAAGTTTAAATGACGAAAAAAGGTCTTTTGACTTTTGACCTGAGACACAGCTGAAAAGTTGGCCAGTTGCAACAGTTCGTAGTGTCAGAACCAGAAGTAACCTTCGTAAAGAGAATAAGGTTATAAGCCCTGACAACAAATCTACAACTATTTACAACTATTTATTTTCTGAGGTCGGTCAGAAAGATTATCCAACCGCTTATCTTTTTTTTATGCAATGATCCTTTTTTTAAAAATCAAAATTACCTACGTCGATATGCCAATCCTGCATAATAACAAAAATGATTGATTTGCAGTTGGAGAAAGAGTGGTTAATGAAGCTCCTAATAGATTCAGAAACGCCCCTAAACACCCGGCTATCAGCGAAATACAAGAGGTAAATGTTAGTTTTAACAATCCCTACGAAATTAGAATAAATATAAGGTGTCATTTTTATCAAATCATTGCTACATAAAGCTTCAATGTTTGTTCCAAAATTGATCCTTTATAAATATATTAGTTTTCCAAATACAACTGGTAATCAATCAATACACTGAAAAACTTGTTAATTTTTTAACTCAGGAGAACATCAGATACGATATAAATATGGTTCGAATACAAACGAAGGAACCGGATCGGGTGTTTTTTTGTACAAGCCCAAAATATGAGCAAAGAACTCATCAGGGAAGTGCACTTCGGTCTTTCAAACAGAAATACATGCCATCAATGCTTGTGCCCTAGAAAATCTTAAAAGAGTTTACACTGGCAAAAAAATCCTCTTAAAATCAGCTATTAAGGCATTAGCGTCTAAAAAAATTACCTGGGAAACAATCTGATGATATGTTGGGTGCCAGGACACAAAGGGATTTTGGGTAACGAACAAGCAGACATACTGGCCAGCGGAGGATCCTCAAGACCATACATAGGCTCTGAACCTACACATGGAATAACAAAAATAAATACAGAATCCTCTGTTCAAATAAAACAAAGGGAGAAGTGGATGAACTCTAGGGGCGCTAAACACAGTAAACTTGTGCTAAAACAACCCTTACCAAGACTGGCAAACTCTCTGCTGCTGTTGTGGGTGGCCAGACTCAGAGGAGTGATGGGACTATTAACTGGTCACTAGCATCTGAGAAAACATCTACATGGGTATATATAATGATGATCCCATTTGCAGATGATGTATCGAGGAGGAAGAAACAGCCACCCATGTCATCTTCGAATGCAAAGCAATGGCTCAATGGAGTCATAACCTAGCACAAAAAAACCTAGGGAATGAAATTGTAGCAGTGACAGTCAATGACCTAATACTTCTGAGAAGAAGGATTAAGTCGATTGCGCTGAATTAGGGAACTAGGAACGTTCAATAAGCCAGAAGGCTGCAGTGCCCGGGGAGAACAAACACCGCTTCCTAGTATCTTCCATCCATCATCATCACCATAAATTGCTTTTTAGATAATGAAGCTCTGCTTGATTTCTCTTGAAATCTTCGCATTCTACTTGTAGACAACCTGTAATAATCTGATTAAGAATATAATTCCATTGGTTAACATTTTTAAGTGTTTAAGTTTTTTCATTTTATTGATATTTATGCCCTAAATTATTAATTTCCACTACCCAAAACGGTTGTTGCTCCAACAATTCATGTAAATAATGTTAAAGATTAAGGTGGTGGAAGAAAGAGATATTTTTAGACCAAGTTTTATTTAAACAAAATAAGGTAATGGGTATACACTAGTTAAAAGTAAAGTTCTGAATAAATCCTTCTCTTCTTATGTGATTGATTTTATTTTTCTTCTTGATGCTTATCAAATGAACATATGTATTTTTAGCAGTAATTGACATATATATATTTGTAATTTTTTTCAGGAGTTTTGCCTATCTGTCAATGAAAGATAGAGCTCCACTAGCTCTGACAAAAGTGATTGACTATTTAGTCAGGGACAAACGGGGCATTGAAAAGACTTATGGACCAGTAAGTCTTATCTTGCATTAAACATTTAAAATTTGTAAATAGAACAGATAAATTTATATTGCGATTCCTATGTTGCTTAACTTTTTAATTTAAAAATGATGAAAACATCAAGTATTTGTCTTGTTTGATCTTTATTTAATTTTAAATATTAAAAAAAAAGTCCGATTTAATAATTTATTCCCTACACTACTGTGTATCAAACAAGTTAGTACACTAAGTTTACTTGAATTTTGCCTAAACATTACTATTTTATAACAATTTTTATATATTTAATCTGCTATGTTTGTCAAAATCGTAGGGTGCCATTGAAGAGGTGAAGTGTGCTATTGGAGAGTTGTCACAGTTGAAAAACCATTTACAGACGTCCAAACCTTTTGAAAATTTTATTTCAAAGGACCCAGACACGACGACCTGGAACCAGCACCTCGAAGCTAGGGAGCTTCATAATGAAGTAAACAATTACTACGAATCGGACTGGCTTTTTGCAGAATGTTACCTGTACAGGAGAATCAGAGAATCATTTGCCACAAAGTTTGTTTGTTACATATTTCGGGAAGGCTTGTTTTTCCTAATTACAACATTTTCTAGGAAGCTGATTTGCTCGATTGATCCTTTTTCGGTTCAAAAGACCCAAGTTTTGGACAGCGCTTTGGATATTATGGAACCAATGTTTTGTTATTTGTACCAATCAAAACTGATGGACAAACAAACCGTTCTTCCAAAAGATGATCTAGTAAATGAGTGCGTTCGGTTGCTGAAGGTAAGGATGTTTAATAACAAATAAGAAACTTAAATATTAGTTTGAATTATTAAACTTTGCGCCAATTATATTCATTTTTCAAAACTTAAAAACAGTTAAAACAAAGTCTCTTTTATTTCCCCTATTTATTTTTTTTTTGCTTTTTTTTTATTCCTCGTTAAAAGATAAATAATTGCATGACCTAACAGAATTCAGTTTGATAAAATATTGAAATAAAATCTTTAAACAGGTTTTTTGTTCTTTTTAATTAAAAAGGTTGTTATTTTGAAAGATCTTGCTAGTTTTCCTTTTGAAAAAGAATAGAACTAACATGTTTCTTTTGAAAAATAAATGTATAGTAGTTTGCCCCCTAATCAGCATTCAAAATCTCCTTCAATGTTTATACGTTCAAAATACAGTTATTCTTTCACTTAACAAATGCTATTTGAAATTCATATAACAAAGTAATGTTTTATGGAAAATATGCATATAATTTTCAACTGTTTTTAGTGGTGTTTATGGGCAAACAAAATAGATCTGTCTTTCAAGCCAGATCTACAGGAAGGCGGTAACATAGCAGATGCTTTTCTTAAAATAGATCAATGGGACAACAAAATTGTCATTGATAATTCTGAAAAAGTTGGTTTGTGTTGCATTGAACCAGGGTACAAAAAAGTAGTGGGTGAGTATTTTGATCCTATCAGATTGCATAATGTTAATGTGTTGTAATAATAAGTTAACGGGCTTAATTTTTGTGTAGACATAGTTATGGACAATGCAGGATTGGAAATGCTTTGTGACATGACTCTGGCAGACTTTTTAATATCAAAGTGTGGTGTCGATTTGGTAAATTTCCACGTTAAACCAATTCCCTGGTTTGTTTCTGATGTCATAATTAGAGATTTCATGCAAGGTGTTGAGTCGATTGCAAAATCGGAACGGAAACATTTCAAAAATATTGGATTAAGATGGCAACATTATTTGGATAAAGGTAATCCCGCCAATACACTTTTTTATGTTTATGTGATTGTAAGTTTCTCATCCTTATGTGAATTTTGGAAGAGACCTTCATAATTATTCTTTTACAAGAAGAAGAATATATTGTACATTTGTTTTAAATAATTATTCAAATTTTGTATAAATTAAACAGGCGTTTGGAAGTTGCATGCAGATACTTATTGGTGCCTTGGCCTGCCATATCAGTTGATGGAAGAGACTGATCCATCATTGTACAAAAAGCTTTCAAGATCATCTCTGATTATATTCAAAGGAGATCTTAACTACAGGAAACTTGTTCGAGACATAAACTGGGAGCCCTCCACACCCTTTGAAAAAGTGCTTGATTGTTTCCGCCCAGCACCGCTCGTCACATTACGAACTCTAAAGGCAGCCACCGTCTGTGGCATGAACGAACAAAAAGCCGAGGAATTGGATGAAAATGATCCAAATTGGTGGACGAGTGGAAACTATGCACTTATACAGTACTGTCCCGATGTGTAAAAAGTCTTTTAACCATGTTTTTATTCATGCTGTTCTGTGATCCCCTATTATTATTTTTTTTTTAATCTATTAAAACACTTTCTCTTATTTTTAACCTTTGTTTATAACATAAATAGTTTTCAATAAGTGTACAACTAATTTTAAATATTAGATATAAATTATTGTAAACAATTTGCAGTTGTACTAATTTGAGAACAGAATGTGAAGTAAAAATAAACTTGGGACATTTTAATCAATGCACATTTTTCACATTGTAAATGTTTTGTATTTTGAATACTTGAAAAATTCCATTTTCTAAACACATTTTGCTTTATGGAATTTCAAAAACAGTAATAACTGTGATATTGATCAAAACATAAGTTTGTTGTAAGTCTTTATTTTAAAAATAAAAAGACATTTTACATTTGTTAATAAGATTTTTATGGGTGTAAACAATTGTATTTTAATTAATATTGTTATGCTAATTTTAAAATAAAAGTGAAAAATTTTGTTTATATAAATTACATAATTGCCTTTTTGTGTTTATTATCAAGTTGGTCAGTCCAAAATAGAAATAAATAAAGCAAAATCAACTCAGTGGAAATTAATTCATTTTGACTTCAGTTTTTTTAAAGTCAAATTGTCTTCGAAATGTTTTAAATTAAAAAGATTAATTTATAAAGACTTAGAAATGTTACAAATTTGAAAATATTAAGTAATGGAATACCAAAATAACCCTCCATAAATATTTTAATGTTTAAATATTTCTATTTATTAATAGACAAATAAATACTTTATTCACAAAAAGAAGTCTATTACAAATGGATATTTACAAAATAAGTAAGCATGGATTAAAATCCATCTACCAGAGTACAATACATGTCAATAAACTTACCACCTACTACCAATGGACTAAATATACCACTTTCTACTAAGTGATGAAGGGATTTCATATAATTTGAATAGAAAATTTAAAATTCTTATGTTGTATCTTCCAGTTTTCTAATTTAGATGGTTGGTGGAGAAAGGAAAATCAAGTGTTATCAGCTAATTAAATTAAATTAACTTAGCGTTAAATTAGCGCTTATAAATATATATAAATAGCTGTTTATTTCTGTTGTGTTGGTGTGTCATTAGTGTGGGGCTGAAAATGGGCCATGAGCCCAAATTGTCCAAAACAAATAAAAGATTTTTACAACAGGGAACAATTGGTTTTCTTTTCTCCACCGGACCATCTGATATCTAATTGATTGAAAGAACTTGCCAAAGCACTTAATTAAAATAATTAAAAAGTAATACGCACAAATAATACAACTGTTTGCTCGTTAATAATTAATGAGTTTTATTTTGTATGAAAATTTGTACCATCTCTAGTAACATTGAATGCCAACCCTGACTTCAAAATACGTGCTGAAAATTAAAAGTGCACTTTATCAATATTACATAAAAATTCTTATTTTATTATATGCTTGTAGTATCAATATTAAAAATCATTATACTTTTTTTTTTTAACAAAAGACATTTAGGTAAAATAAGACCAATTTCTTTTTCAATATATACTACTGATGACTTTTCAAATTTTTATAAAAATCTACAACTATTAGAAAACTAAGAACTAATATCAGAATCAGAGCTTTCCAAAGTTAATCCTAAAAGTAAGATTGTAAGCATCATTCTCCTGAAAACTTCATTAATTTTATCTGTAAGAATATTACCTTTTATTTCTTCTAAATTTTTTTGGTATGCTTTAGTTGGATTTCCTTGGGTCATGTCCTTCATCGTATCACCAGCTGGTACTGAAATTGAAATAGGTGGCAAAAGTGAGCAGCTAACTGGGGGAGTTTCCCGACTTCCAACGCTGCTGTCATCACTTCCAAAATAGGGCTTCCCTTCGGCGGCTATGTCACTTGAAGATGTTTCTTTAAATTGTTTTAGTAAAGAACCATAGCTGCCAATGCTGAGTTCATCAAACTGCAAACGTGATTTTTTGTATAAAGAGAAAAAAGACTGGGTTAAAACATAGTCACCTCTTTGATTCTCACTCCTTTCGGAAGAGGAACGAGATCTGCTTCATCACTTTCAGTAAATGATTCACTGCTGGGCGTTTCTTCAGGGGCTTCTGGTTCTTCTGGTACTGTTTGGACCATGAGCTGTTCATCATCATCTTCTTCTAAAGTTTCGATATTACCAGATAAATCTTCAAGTAGTGTTGTTTCCTTTTTAGTGGAGAATTTTCTTCCTTCCACTAAGCATAACAGTTATCTTAATGGTATAAAAATATTGAGTTTTATAAATAACATACATTTTCCGTATAGAACTCGTCTTGCAAAATCTTTTGCTTTTTCTTGTTGTTGTGCAATACGCTTCCGTACAATTTCCTTTTCTGATTCAGGAAGGAGAAAACTGTGTACGATCTCAGCTGCCATTTGTTCTCTTTCAATTTGTGTTTTATCTTCTTGGGCCTGTCTTTTGTCTTCTTTATCCAATTCATCTGCATATTCTATCATCTTTTCATGCGCCTGTTCTCTGCTCACAGTGCGAATCGCACTGTCTGTGAGAAGTTTCAAATAGAAGTCTGTCGTAATTTCATTGCTTCTCATAACCTGTTAAACATTTAAATATGTTTTATTATTAGTGTGAGTATTATTTCAGTGTTTAAAAGAGGAGTTAAAAAAGGAATTACCTGTCTGTACATTTCATCATGCTGACGACGCCGCCTTATTTCTTTCTGCCTTCTCCCACTTTCTGCCGCTTCTCTTCTCCATCTTGCTCTTTCAGCTACTTGTACAATCTTATAAGCTCGTCTCTCATCTTGAATCCTCATTAATTCTTTGTTAGCAAAGTCTGCTAATGAATTTATAGTCGCTCCAGTAAGTTTTTTCATAACAGTGGCCACCATCCCAAACTGAAAAGAAATATTTATTGTTAGTCTATTGTTGTTTAGGAAATAACATAATCTTTTACCTTTCTAAGCAGCCAGTAATAATCTCGGAAAGCGCTCATTTTCAAATATCGTTGGGAATTAATTTCTTCTTCATCTGATGGTGTAAATCCAAAACTACCTTTAAGTTCGTCAATCAAATCTCGATTTCTCTCAACCCCTATTTGCATCTGCAAAAAGAAATTTGTTTTTTTAAGCAACAATATTTTGAATGTACTTTAATTTTAATAAGCTGTGTATGTTAGCAATCTAAGCATTATACAAAATATCCGAAAATAGAATAATCTAGAAAGAAAAATTTCAGGAAAAATTACAAGTGCTTGTATAGCTCTCCCTCGAATAAGTCTTTGGAAAAGTACAGTTGCTTGATAAACTTTTTCCAAAAATGGCCTTTCGGGAACAATTCCTATATCAGTATCTTGCGTTGTTTTGAATGAAGTGATTCCAGTAACTGGAGATTTACCACCCATTCCTTTTTTGCTGATGTCCAATGTCGGCTCTGAAAAATACTTAGTTGTGACAGGAGAAAAATCGTGTAATATAAAAACAAAACTCACTCATAGCTATAAATTCTTCTTTGCCTACCACCATCAATTTCTGTTGGCAGTTATGACTTTTAACTTCAATTTTCTTTCTCGGTTTAGACGCCGTATGTTTTTTTTCTGGGACTATAAAAGTAAACCATTTATAAATTTATACTGCTATCCATTTCAATCATAATTTACTTTCTAGGATTGCTTTGGTTGCTTCTGGCACAAGATTTTCATGTCGATATCTTGGGTTAGCACCAAATCTCATTATATTGACATATAGATCGGATGTTTCATCACAAATTTCTTCAAAAATTGATGTCTTATGGTACTTCATGTTAATGCCAAGCAATTTTTTGTGTATTTTCCTATAAACTGAAAAACAGATGTATCGATCTCTGAGAAATGTATAAAATATGTCTTTGTTGTATATACTTCGTGATTTTTGACAATGGAGCTTTTTGGCTGTTTTATTTTTCAATTCTTCATTTTTCTCCATTACCAACTTCAGCCTTTCTTCATTCCTTTCTTCCATATTGTCCTGAAATTCCTTTATCATATCATACGCGTGGGTCAACCTATGTACGCTTCCTAATTCAAACTCCTGAATGAAGGCAAAAAGTATAAGTTTTTGCTCATATTGCTTAAAATTGTATTAAAAAAAAATTATGTGTACATATACATAATCTAACCCTTTCTCTGAACATGTTTTCATTCATCTCAATGTCAGATATGATTTTGGAGCGTAGGTCTTGATTGTCGTCTGTGTATATTACTGATAAATATCTGTCCCATGCTTTTCTTTTTCGCATTCTTTCTATAATCTCAACTTCATGTCGTCCAGCAGGTAAATTTTTCCCTACAATTTTACCGATTTATTTTATTTTATTGACACTTAATGGTGTATGTAACAACCATAATAAAAGTCTGTGAGTTGGAGGACTTCTGGATCTCCAGACTTGACAACATATCCTGGTGTCCATACATGTGTTTGTGTCTCTGAGTCTCTGAAAAGAGTCTGGCATTCACAGTTGATTGTCGTTTTAACCAATTTGCGCTCTTGAACAAAATAAAATTAATTAAGTAATTATTGTAAACCAAATTTTGTTATATATATTACTAAAACCCTTGACTCTCTCATCATGACAAATTTATAGAGATCAACTGTTTTAAAAAAAGGAGGATTAAATTAGCAACACAATAACACTCAAACTTGAAAAACCAAACAATTTTAAAAATATTAAATACAGTATTGTGTTTGTATGTGATTCAGCCTTAAAAGAGAAAATTATTATAAATTACTTTTGAGCTGCATTGCTTCCACATAAAATTAAGTAGTCAAAAAGGTGTATTATTTTTAAATGTAAAATTATATGCCATTAACGTTAAAACCCAAGCATTGGTATTAAATGTTCTAAATGTGAGATTTTTTGTATTGCAATTAAAACTCAACAAGTTTTACTAGCAAAAGAAAGTAAAAACAGTAACTTCAAAATTTCAATGTCTGGTGACCTCAGAGGCCACTGTACAGGGCCATGTTCAAATCCATCTTCTCTTAAAACTAAGTTCAGGACTTAACACCACTAGACTTTTTATTTTGGGGCCATTTAAAATCTGTAGTCTACGAAACTCCTTTAGTTGGCATTGGTGATCTGAAGCAAAGAATTATAACTACAATTCAGAATCAAGAGACATTGAAATTGAAAAACGATATGAAAAATCTATTGAAAATGAAGGGGAAATGATTCAACCATTTACTTTAAGACTAGCAGTCTGTTTTTCTACCATTTCTTTTACCCACATCCATATTTTTTTCCATAAAATTGCCATTATTCACTAAATAGGTAACTCAAGTTTCCTAGAATGGTGTTTATGGTACATGAAAGTGTTAATACCCTGTAAAACTCTCATTTTGCTAACTTCATAAAAATTAAGATTTCAAAACAGACCAGTATGTGAAATCTTTTGTAAATGATCGAGTTTTGAAATCCAAAATAAAAAATGCGGATCTCTCACTTAACGAAATTTGAGTGTATTTTATATAAGAAAACAATGAAACAAAAAATTATTTTTGGAACCAATGACACATCTACAAACTAGACTTCATAACAGGAAAAAATGATGGATGGAAACTACCAAACTTAAGGAAGTTAGAGAGTGTGGACTCGAAGTCATCAAGTCATCAACCGGCATTCACTTTTCCAATCCGTTCACCATCTAAATATCGGGTCTTCCACCATTTTTGAAGACCACAGTTTTCAATTTTTAAAGGTTTATTTTTAAATTCTAGAAATTACAATGTGCAATGAATCACTCCCTATAAATATTAGGGGTCTGCTGCAAGTAACATCTAATTGTTGGCACACTCAAGAACTTTATTTTATTTTGAGTAATTCCTACAAAAATCGGTTTTAAGACATTTTCATGAGAAACCTGGCCACAAAGATAATTCAGTAATAGATCTATGTAAAGTTTGCCCAGAATATTTTTACATTAAATACTTCTGTAGTTATTAGTTAAATTTGGATCTCCATTTTTAAAAAGAGGATGTATGATAGAAGTTTTAAACAACCCACTCAAAATATTTTATTATAACAAAAGCATTTGACAGGCAAACGTGAAGTCCAACTGGGCTGTTATCGTAAAATCGAATCTTCTTTTTATTAAAGATTGTTAGTGTTACATTAATACAAAATTATCTTCAAAAACAAACATTTTTTTGACAAAAATCTTAAAATTTATTACTTCTACCTTAACGATCATGTCTTTTTTCCTCATTTGTACCCACAGTGTTATGATACAAAATCATGCATAGATAATATAATATAAAAAGTGAATACTTTAGTAATATTCGTTCATTATTTAATAAAAGACAAAATTTTACAGATTTGTTATTAACCATATGTTTAAATAAAGCATTTACTGAACAAAATATGTGAGTGGGACTCGGTGATATTGGACAATTCTTAAGGGTTTTATTATAATTCTATTTGGCAATATAGGAGAATTCATGAAGAAACACTTACCATGCTTTTCAGAGGATATTGAATGAGTCATATTGAAGCTAGTATCGTTTCCGTTTCAACAATAAATATACAATACTACATGTAATGGTTCCACGAGCTACAAGAACCACTTAGCAACCAAATCAACAGGGACTCAATTTACAAAAAAGAAGGAATTTGTCGATTCAACTCTCTCACATTACTGCTCAATAAATATTCTCACAGATGAATCTATATATATACATATATATTTCTTTTTTATTTCTTTTTTGTTTGTTTTTAGTTCTTTGTGATAATTTGTACACATGGCATTTCATAAGCACAGAGTGTATAATGTACCTATTTTTCTTATTATCGATAATTCATTCATTTTAAGATTTTGATAAGCATTTGTTACATATTAAATTTATGAATTTTCCAAACTTCTGCACAATGACCTGATGTATGTACACCACAAGTCGTGTTGTAGATAGGGAATTCAACTTCTTATATTCTTTTAAATGAAAGTTATTTTACAAAAATCTATAGTGATTTTTTTTACTGTTTATACATTTTGGTCCATTGGCCAACTTCAGGAAATTGAAACCCACTTGAAAATTGTTTGATTTAGTCTTCTTCAAGTCAACTTAATAAATAATTTGTCTGCTGATAATACAACACTCTGCCACTCCATCAAAATTGTATTTGGCCGCTAGTCCTAGCAGTCCCCAAAATACATTATACCCTGTTTGGTTTAACACACTTAGATAATTTTATTTTATTTATGCTGTTATGTGTAGTTTATAAGGATCTAAACCCTTGTAAAGTCGGTAGTAGTTAATAATTTATTCACAAAAAATTAGACATGGAAATCAAAAATTTTGAAGAAAAATAATATTTTGTTTTTCACAAAATATATCCATGCATATATGTTTTTTATTAGAACGAATGTATTTATTTACGTGATTCCCCATTTAGGGGGGGGGGGCTTATCGCTCAAATGCCCTAAGGAATATTGATGACTTTATGGGTAGCGTGAATGATTTATACTATTTATATATATAATTTAGTGTGAATGAAAGAGTTTACTCCCAATTGCCTTGAGGAATATTGAGTTCTCTTTGGTAATGTGTTTGCTAACCAGAATATCATGTTTTTTATTTTATTTCTATGTATTTGTGTTTGTTATTTGTCTTATTTTTATCCACAATTGACGAGGCCCTGAGGTATAGAGAGGCTATCAATAGGTCAAAGAAAAGAGAGAGTTGGTAACCATTGCACCATAAACTATCATAAATGTAAACTTAGCTGGAGAAACAGAAAAAAAATTAACAGGATTAAAATGTGAGAAAGATAAAAAAATGTAAAGCTAAGGAAGAAAGGGATGGCTCTGACCAATGCAGTTTGCCAGCATAATAACTTTTTTCTTTTAAAGTGTGCTTTAAAAGAATCATCTTTTTCCCCCACAAAAATATTTTTGACCTACTTTATTGGAAACATATTTCGGTTTTTGTACTTTTTATATAAGTTACGAACAACACGCAAGAAAATCCAAATTTAAAGCAAATTTTATTATCTAAATAGTACAAATTTAAGAAAATAAAAAATAATAGGACTGAGGAGATGTTGACGGTGCAATGGTCAGAATGAAGAGGGTATGGAAATAGGGTTCTTTCCCAGTGCTCAGCTCCGCTGCATCTTTATAATTTTATCTTATTGACCAAAGAAATATTGAGGAAAAAAGAAACATCTACGCTATAACATATTTGTAAGATGTATTTGATCTCTTTTAATACAATCCTGCATAATACTTCCTTATCCTAGGTATGAAAAAGCAAAAACAAGTCTATTGATATTTATTAACTTTAATGGAATATACATGAATAACAAAAGTAGAAAAACGTATTTTTAAAAAAATTACTTAAAGTAGTTGAAATTTGAAACATTTTGAAAATGTTTTCCCCACCTGCTTATAGGCATTTTTTAATTTAGTATCAGCAAAAAAGTTTCATTAAAATTTGTGGTTCCTCATCCCTAGCATCCCATTCTTTTCATTTTTATGCGATCAGATTCAACAATTTAATTGATAGTAAATAAATGTGGTTTCAATTTATGTAGGTTTGAAGGGGAAATCGTGGGACGATAGTTGGCAACAGTCGGCCATCCCTACCAACGGCCCTTGAAGGCGGGACAAAACCTGAATTAGTGAATGCATCATTTAAAGAACAGGAGGTTTTCTAATTTGAAATTTGAACTTTTCAGTATTAAATTAAACCCTTCTTGCTGTAACTGTTAAATCGGTGTTTCTTATGTTAAACAAGTTTTTATTGTTCAACTGAATTTTAACTGATTTCTCATCTTTCGAGAATGGAACTGGAAGACAGGGAGGAAGAGTATGAATGTCAATTTTATTGTTTTTCAACCAGCGACGTTGTCACACGAAGTAAATTTACAAAAAATTCAACTTTTTTGTTCATAAATATACGTTTATTTATTTACGTATATGTATTTTTTTTTAGTTACAAACTCAATGGATGTTATCATGGCAGGACTGATAAAGAGCATTTCGAATAAGCTGACTAACATTATGACACAGGAGGAAATTGAAAGTGCCAAGAGATCATTTCTTGCCTCTTACAACGAATCGCTTGTACAGCACCAGGCCCAACTCAGGGTGAGTGATTGCTAATTGTTTGTTCTTCTCTGTATAAAATATATAGTATAGTTATATACAAATCTGACAGATCAGTCCGACCAAGAGGCAGTTAGGAGAAAAACCAACCAATGCTGGAACTCTTTTTAACTTAGGTAGGTTAAGATAGAAGGTCAGAAAGCCACCGTCGGTTTAAACAGCATGGAGGATTGTAAGGGTGGGACATTGAGGAAAGAGTTAGGGCTAGTGCGTGAGGGCGGAGTGATAGTTTAGAGTGGAAATTGAGGAAGTGTGTTTGGATAAGTTCTTTCACGAATGGGATTTTAAGATATTTATGGATCATTTGATTGGTGATGTAAAAGGGAGCATTAAGGATACAGCGGAGAACTTTAGATTGAATTTGTTGGACTTTTTTTCAATGAAACGTTTGTTCGATGATTTGGCTGAGCTCCACAGTTTGGCACTGTAAGTCCACTGTGAGCGGTTAGTTTATGTATGCTTAATGTTGATTTTGGTCCCAGGGTGGTCTGAGTATAGTAATGGTGTCTGAGTGGTGAGTTGTTGTCATTTTAATCTTGTACATGAGTTCCATGTAAGTCTGCTATCTAAGTAAAGCCCAAGGTAGCGAACTTGATTTGATGGTGTTTTATCTTTTGTTAATGTGCACTGGTAGGCAGATTTGATGTTAGAGTGTAAACATAATTTGGATTTTTTGCTACCTTTAAGAGCTGCTGTATTCTCTATTTATCAATTGAATAATTTATTTAACTTCACTATTTTCGTGGTCTGCTTGACCAATTAATACTTTACAATTAATTAAGGTTTTTAGTTGAGATGAAAAAAAGCTAATGCCACGAGAGGGATTCGAACCCACGACCTTCGGCTTGATACACCGCTGCTCTACCACCTGAGCTATCGTGACCTCGATCCACTCGGACATCAACTCCCCATCTCAACCCCACCTTATGAGTTTTCCCTCCTTTTGCCATTTTTCAATTTTTTTTTCCGAATCCCTCTCGTGCCATTAGCTTTTATTCATCTCAACTAAAAACCTTAATTAATTGTAAAGTATTAATTGGTCAAGCGGACCACGAAAATAGTGAATTTAATTAATTAAAATGAAGTACACTCCAAACCGATTACACGACATTTGAAAAATGGCAAAAGGAGGGAAAACTCATAAGGTGGGGTTGAGATGGGGAGTTAATGTCCGAGTGGATCGAGGTCACGATAGCTCAGGTGGTAGAGCAGTGGCTGGCGTATCAAGCCGAAGGTCGTGGGTTCGAATCCATCGAATGTTAAATGTGAACATAGTTTGTAAATCCCAGGCCCTGAAGATGATCTCAATAAAAGGTCGAAACATTGGCACGATAAAGAAAATGTTTTTCTGAAACCTAATCACACCCGACCGCATCTCACGATATCTGAATAACTATGACCGCTAAGCAAATATGGGTTACCTTTTTATATGACATTTGTAACTCTGGAAGTTAGCTACTTATTAAAAGTTTTAAAGTAAAGTAATTCCTGTCATATACAAGGGCTTAACATTGGTTGGGCATCTTGGAAGAGGGGTCAAACCACTTTACAATACTTTATTCATTTTTTAATCAAGCCATGGGTTATACTAGGATATGAACCCAAAAGTACTAGCATGGCAAATACAAGCTGGACACTAACCACTCGCCACTGCAATCCTATTAAAAATGTACAAAGATTTAATTTGTGTAATTTATTTTATAAATTTTCCCTATACATAACAATTATAAACCCTTCTTTATTTTAATTTATATATATTGTTTTTACAGTCAATTGTCAAGACATTTTTGGGCATAAAGAGCAACATCTTATTGGAACAGGACAGGTGTCAATCAGTCCAATATACCCCAGAGTATGAAAAACAGGTTGAACAGGAAGTTGAAAACAGCAAATGCCAATTGAGGGCTGTGGGTGTACTTTTCAATAATTGTATAAATAAGAATTGAGTATAGAGAATGATCTAATTTTGTTTTCAAGCTGGTGGTATTGGAGAGCAGGTTGAGACAATGTTTGAAAAACATTCTTAATGAAGAAACCTTGATGAACAGCCTCAAAGCACAATTTCAGCATATTGTCGAATTAAGAGGTGGCTTGGAATCATTACAGGAGTCTACAGCAAAGTTGCCGCAAATGGAAGAACTGTGCAAGACGTTGAAAGAAAAACTGGATTTCTAAAATGATAAATTCTCTTTGTATTCATTTTTAATTAGTTAATGTATTAATAATTAATATATTTTTTATACAAATTGTACATTTTCCCTATCAAATATTTACTATGGCATGTGAAAAATACTGTTTTAAATTTAAAAAATCCATACAAGTTTTAATAAATTTCCAAAAAGGTTGCTGATTAAATTTTTTATATCCTTTTATTTTATTTTTTGGTTATGACAATTATTGGTGATTTGTGTTGGAAAATGGTCTAACATTATATTCATGTCATCCAATAACTTCATCAGCATTGTCAAATTGTTGCCCGTTTTCTTCCATCTCAAAATTATTCTGTTAAAATATATATTATGAGATGTATATTTGGATCTGGTTATGTTTTTAACTAACATTAATCGCATCAACGTAGAATTTCATTGATTATGATCGTGTCACTGCGCGAGAAAAGAAGGTACAGATTTTTGTGATAACCTTATTGTTTTGAATGGTCATTTTCCAGGGGATATTAAAGATGAATTCTCTTCTATTAGAAGAGTTGGGCGTTCTGTGATTGACATTTGTGACACCTCATCTGATATTATTTCTCTAATTGAGAATTTTAAATTTTTACCTGAGCAGTATTCTGACCTCCAACCTCTGTATATTGATTTGAATTTCATTGTGAGCGTAGTAGAACGTGTCTTAACATTACTAATTTGGTTACATTGGTTCAATGATTAGGCGGATTATAGGATTATATTGAAATTGGAGAAAACTGTACGATTCATTCCATCTTTCACTTCTGATAATAATGGTATAATGTATTAACAGAATCTATAACTTTACCTTGCTCAAGTGTAGAACCCTTCTTATAATCTGGCAAAAAAAAAAAAAAAATCAACCTTGGTTTGGAGCTCCACAAGAGGAATAAATAATTCAATTTATAAAAGCTGATTAGAAACTCTTAATTCTCGGATTGTAAGAAATTTGTAACTCGAAGCCAACATGAAATACAGTTATTTATGAGAGAAATGCCTCCAAGGAGTAGTATTATCACCTATTTTATGGTCACTGAAGAGGACAACCTGCTTGAGCTAATAAGGGTATGCAGATGACAGTCATAATAATCAGAAGAAAGTATCACCAGACACTGGTCAAATTTATACAGAATGGATTAAATCGTGCCATCAATCATCACCAGTATAAATAAATCCTATATAGCGTTAAACCTGCAAAATAAAAAATAAAGCATTCCCAAGTAGTTACAAAGAGAACAGACGAAAGAGGACAGCGAATACAAGACTTGTGGGTTAAATGATCATTCCGTAAGACCCATGATCACTATGCAACTTACATATGATGGCCAAAGCAATAAAACAGAACTAAAGGAACTACTACAAAAGTCAAAATTGCATGCCTTAGCAATAGTGCTCTTAAAACATACGCACAGCACGGGTATATAATAATCTGATTACGTCTGCATTATTGCAGTATTCGCACCTCGTCCCAATGAGTTTGAACAAGTATTTTCTACAGTTGAGTATAAATAAATAAATCGATAACAAATTGGGTTTCTTAAAAATTAAATTGTTTTGCCTTAACCATAATTCATTGATGGAGTACCTGTTGGTTTACTAAAAGTTATGTATACAAGTTTGCAGTGTTAGGGGAAAAAAGTTAAGAAAATTGAAATTGTTTATTATTTTAAAATTAAACTTAGTCCTTTATATAACATTTGATAAGCTTTATTAGCTAACATCAACCTTAATTGTTTACATAATACTTGAATTTTCAGCCGATGCTTTGTTTATATTTAAAATTATTAAGCATAAACACAGTAACTTTTTTTTTACATCTAAACTTGTTTTCTAAGGTACATTTAGCCAGAAGGCTGCAGTACCCGAGGAGCACAAACCCCGCTTCCTAGTGTACATCATTAACCCATTTTTTTTCTCAATATATATGTATAATAAATCATATACTTATTAGATAACATTGAAATAAAATTATTGTTTATGAAGAAAAAAAATTAACATTTTTTTAAATCAGTCTCAAAACATAATGCTTTTATGGAATGACTTAAATATAAAAGGCACAGCATTATCACTTTTACATTTTAATCAGTTAGTGGAATTATAAGGCCAAGAAAAGGTAAATCTGTTTCCAATAGAAAAAAAAGAAAAAAAAAAAAACTGGACGGAAATATTACCATTTGAAAATCAGACTTTGTTTTTTGAGGATTGATGATTCTATTATTGTACGAATTATACATAAGCATATACAAAGCTAGTTAAAAAACTGAAAATATTAAAAAATACTGTCAATTGAATTAAAAATAAGTAATAATGAAAAACTAAACAGTATAATAGCAACTATTCTGTAATAACTAATTCGTTTACAGATTTAACACTGTTGACTTTGGTGTTGAGCAATGCCTGTAGTTGCTCCCTTGCACTTTTCTCATCCCTAACGTCACCACGAAGTGTGTGGAGCTCGTTTTGAATGAGTTGTATCTGCTCTCGAAGTTCAGTAACCGTACCAGACAAATCCCTGGAAAAGCTTTTAAGCGTTAAAACACTGAAAAATTACATTTTGGGTTGGATTACTCACTCTGAATTTCCCATGTTGTTCTTCTCGACAAGCGGTTTGAAATTTCCATCCAGAATGTCTAAAATAATGTTTTTATTAAATCAATTGGTGGAATTATAAGTACAAGGAAAGGTAAAACTGTTTCCAATAGGCAAACAAATCGGATTAATGAAATAATTTTATTAGAGAAATTGATACGAGATTGTCCCAAAATTGTTTGTGTTAACGAGACCATAAATCAATTTAAAAAAATTCAATTTAATACTTAATTAAAATGTTCAACATTTATATGATTTGGTGTTTTAAAACTAAATGTAATTTGATCATCAACATAATCGCTGGATGCAGTACTCCTAGTCATACCTCAAATTTCAGTTGTTCGAAATTACGAGTAAACCAGATATTTAAACAAAATTAAATTGACTTCAAATTGTACTAAACTTTTTAATATCTTCTTACTGCCAAAATTTTTCCGCTTTAATATCAGCAGGTCGTACTGATCATTTACTCAATTTAAAAAAAATAAATAAATGATTGTACTGTTGACTGGCTCAAAAAAACTGCCTGCAGACCACCAACCCAATCTCATGTAAAACAATATAATGCTATGATTATTTAAATAATTAACCTTTAATTTTGTTGTAGTTATATATTTGCTAATTCAGTGGAGAAAATTTGCTAAGTGGTAGAGAAGAATTTTGATTTTAAATTAAAAATTTTATTTCTTATATAACAAATACATCATTTTAATGAAACCAATATCATTAATGTACAATTACAACTTCTTATTTCGATAAACACCACAGGTTCTTGAAGTATTCCCTGTGTCTTTGCTGTTATTTTTTGTTTTATATTTAAAAAATTGGTACTTGATAAAAAAGTTTCATAGCTGTCTTAATGGCTTTGATTACTTTCTTTACAAAAAAATGAAATGATCATAGTTTTGAAATTATATTTACTAAATGACCATAAAATTTATATATGAAAGTAAAAAAAATCTTAACATTAAATGTAAGTAATACACACGCTTTTATTCAAATTAATTTTTAAAAAATGTTAATCTATGAACATAGAAGGAAAATCAATTGTGGAGTATTACAACAAAGTTATAACATTTCAAAACATGAGCGACTAAGAGTTGCATGAATATTTTCAGCCTTTTGCATTATTCCATGATAATCATTCATAAAAACAGTCATTATCTCTTGATACACTTCATTTAAAAAAAAAATTAATTTAAACTAAATTCTACTTCAAGACTGAGCTGAGGTAATTATATTTTATATAAATATATCTTATGTATTACATGTGCGTTTTAAATGTAGAAAAATTATTATTTACATAACATTGTATAATATAATATTGAGAAAAATTAAATTTGAAGGCACCAAATATAGGCTTATTAATAATCACAAATTTGTAAATATAAAATTATTGTACTTTTATTTGTTCCACTTTTACTTAAAAATGCGACTGTCACAGTTCATTAATTCCTCAACAATAAATTCAATTGGATTTTAATTTTTAAAAAATCTCTTGGAGATTCAAAACATTCAGGTACAGAAAATAAAGTTTGTGAAGGAGTTTTGAAATTTTTCACAAACAAAATAAACAAGTTTAAAAATTCTAAGATTAAAACTAACAGCAACAATTTTCAATAATATAAAATATTTTGAAGCTTTTATATTTTTAAATATGCTACGTATAAATTATATATTTGTTCTGTAAGCATAATTACATTATTATATTATTTTATATATTAATACATACATATATAATTTTAAATGTGTAAATAAACCAGGCACATTGGTTTTATAAATTAATATCAACTTTTAATTAACTACATTCTTAAAAAAAGGAACTAAAACAGTTAAATGATTCACTGTACTAACAAGCAGATTTTGATCAGCAATGTATTATAATTATAACTTTTATATTTGTGCATTTTCATAGAGAAAGTAATCGATTAAAAATTCAAAACTTAAACAGCACAAAATTTATTTAATTATAGTCAAACATTTTTATTTACTGAATTTTTTTAAAACCGTTTTTATAAATTGAAATGTGAAATCATAACACAAACAAAATATATCACACTGGCTACATTTTTATTTTATTAAAAATAAAAATAATTGTGTAAAATTGAAAATAAAATTTAAGCAATATAACAAAATCACATGATGTGATACAAAATGTATCTATGAGTGTCACCTGAAGGTATATTAAATGAAATAAAATTAAAAAAAATATTCCTACTAGTTTTTTGTAAAAACCAAATGTCAACGGCACATAATAAATGTGCAAAATTATTACAAATAAATATGTATTTTGCTGTTAATTATCAATAATTATATCTGTCCATTATTTTTTTTCCAATATAATTCGATTACTTTCTCAATTTAAAAGTCATATTAAATTAAATTTAACAAAGAACTTTTAAACTTAAATTTATACAATATTAAAATATGGCACAAGTTGGTAACTGAAAATCGTTTCTTGGCACAAACAAATTTTAAGCGATTTCCTTACATTTAGGCAATATTATTAAATTGCATCAGATCACAAACAATATCAGTCAAGGTGTGCCTTTGTGATCGCTTTTAAAACTGGAGAGAGATGTGCACAACACCAAGTTGACGCCCTTCTTGGCTTTGTTTTCTTCTTGGGGGCAACTTGGTTTTCACTTGAAGCAGCCAGCTGTCTCCGAAGTGCATCTAAGTAATAAACTTGACATTTATTCTTCCAGCTCTCTCGGGTTAAATTTCAATTTTTAATCCAAATGCATTTAAAATGTGTTATTTTTTAGTTTTCAAAGTTAAGTTTTTAACAAAAACCAAATCCAAATGTTTAATATTAGTAAAATGCACACCTAAAAAACAAGTTATGTCTAGTGTACACAATATGTTATTTTGTTTACAACCAAAAATACACTAATGCCATTTACTGTTAACAGATTTTTCTGCACAATTTTTTTTTTTAATATGTCACTTTTTAAATATAAAATTAATCTATAACGATACTATGGCATAACTTCTTTCCAGGCGTGCAAATCCTTTAATTATAGTGATGCTGAAGTTAAACCTGCTAAACTTATGACAACGAAGGAAGAGATTCAATCGATGAGCCATGATAGAATGCCAGTTCTTGGTTTATGCTGTCTCAACCTCGAGGAATGCAATGATACTGTAAATCACACCACAGACCATGACTTGAAAAAACCAAACGCGCAAAATCTTATTTTCTTCACTTTCATTCAACTGAATATTAAAATGTGCAGAACACGTATCTGGGGGTCATTCCCATTCAAAAGCTTACAATCAAGTTATTACATTGCTTTCTATTTCCACACAAAAGAAACAAAGATACAATTTTTTTAAATATTAGAGATTAAGTGGCGATAATTGTCATTTTTGATCACACTGACAAGCTGGAGGAATGACAAAAACTTCAAAATAATCACATCATTACAAATCTAAAGGCAGTCTGTACTACTCTTCAAAAATTTACAGCCCAAAATATTTATTTACAATGTAGTAAAAAAAATTTCATAACAAAATGTCAATAAAATTAAACATTACAAATGTGCCAGAGCAAAAATAATAAAGTACATCGTGAAGTCATGCAAGCTTACTTGGCAATAAAAATACAATACTTATTTTACAATAATAATAACATGCTATAAAACAAAATTTCAACATCTAATTTTTACTGTTTGAAAACGTATGCCAGTCTTGTATACACAGCGCTTGTTTGTTTAAATTTAAATTCTACACCAAAATGATAATGCTTTTAAATCTAAGTTACTATTTATTAACGTACTGATTCTTTTAAGTAATTAGTAAACATTACAATAAAATTCAATTTATAAGGATTTCTTTCCCTAATTACTAACCCCTTAAAAATGTGGCGTTTAAAATGTATATTGCTTACAAATGAATCCTGGCTGAGTTTATAAAAATGTAAAGCAAATTCTGATTTCCATTAACACTAGAAAAAGTACAATTGTTTGTTATGTTTGAAAATCATATAATAGCTGTTTTTATGTAATATGGTATGATATTATGTATTATTTGGGGATCGTGAGATACGGCCTGTTGTGATGGAGGTTTTAAAAAAACATTTTCTTTATCGTGCCAACGTTTCGATCTTCATTGAGATCATCTTCAGGGCCTGGAATTTACAAACATTGTTTATACAATCATTGTGAAGAAGATCACAATAAAGATCGAAACGTTGGCACGATAAAGAAAATGTTTTTCTAAAACCTACACCGTCACACCAGACCGCACCTCACGATCTCCAAATAATCATTGGCTAATGGTCACTAACAATCACACATTATAATGTATGAGTATATTTATAATATAAAATGATTTAGATTATAGTAATAATGGGTCTTCCATAGCAGGGCTTCTCAAATTATGTCTAAATAAATGTGGGGATCATAGATTTTTGAAAACTTTTCTTCAAATTGATATGTTAAAAAGTAAAATTGCATTAATAAACTAATTTTATCAAATTGTGATAATTAGTATCAGAGAAATAAAGTTGAATAATAGCTCGTATAATATATGTTTACCAAATAAAATACAGGACATCCTCTTTCCTCCAAAGGGTCTTGACAATCACCTATTTCGACGATGCCAACAATCCAGGGTTTTCATTTTTACTTAAGTTAGGCTCAGAAGCACTATTGACTAGGTCATTTCAATACCCATGCAAGTTTATTTATATTGCAAGTTCAACGCAAACTTTGCACTGGGTCCTTCTGGTCAAACTTATCCAGGACACCAGGACGCTCAGTGGTGGCCTACCATACCTTTATGAAGCTAAATTTCTGGAACTTAGATCAAGGTATGCCAGTTTTCGCCTTGTCTTCACAGACAGGCCCAAGAACAGCAAGGGTGGCCATGCACTGAGGTTGCAATGTGAGTCTGGTGTTGGAGGAAATTGTTATTTTATCTTGATAGATATTTCTTCTTGTATTTATTTTTTGAGAGAGTGAATATATTTGTTAGTATGCATGTGAGAGGGCCATGATGGAATTGAGTATCCCTATCACTTTTAGATCACTTATATGGTAGGTCTAAAATGTGATAGAGGAAAATCAAGTACTCAACTATTTTTGAAATAGGTCTAATTAAAGCAAGCTATGCATCCTTTAGTGGCAAATATTAACCACTTGATTTAAACCCAGGTCATAAATATGGATATTTGCCATTGTCACTTGCTAATTTTGATAAAAGGTACAATTTTATCTGTATTCCCATGAATTGTTATTGAATAAATTGTCTTGATGGTTTGTTGTAAGAAAATGTTTTTATTTGTTCAAGTGAAAATACGATGAAAATATTGGTCCATTTAAAAAGAACATTTCTGACAAGCCCTGTGCAGGGAAACTCATTTTGCAACTCACAGCATAATTAAAAAAAATATATATAAAAAAATAAATAAATAAAAATAAAGAAAAAAATAAAAATGTAAAAAAAATCTTTAACAGATGAAGTTGAAATTCTGTGTATTCCGTTTCTTGGAATTGAAATTTTGTGTATAAACTCCGAATCGGTATACCAACTATTTTGGAAATGATAAAAATACAACAAAGCTTAGTTTCAAGTTTTTAAAAACTTGTACCTCAATTTTTTTAGTAAATTTCTATAAAGCACATAAAAATAATAAAAAATTAAACATAAAAAAAAAACACTTTACAAGCATTTCTAAAAGCAGATTTTAACAAAATTTATAAATGTTTAACATAAACATGCTTTTTCTTTTCTTTATTTACAAATTACAATTCAAGGAAACATTTAAATGAGAGATCCATTTAGAAATTACAAAACTTTTAAATTAATAACAACTATACATATTTTTTTGCTTGTTATTAGCAAATTATACATGTTAGCCTTGTTATGTCAACTGAATAACAGGAAAAAATAATGTAGTAAGTAAAATATTATTTCTCCACTGAACATGCTCATGCAAAAAATAATTATTTCACAAAAAAGAAAGTAGGGGGCATGCTAAAACACTTGAGATTGGATTGACCGATAATGTGTAGTATTGTTCAATTATCCAGACCAAAAAAAAATAAAGTCGAGTTTTGACTAATAAATTGAATAATTAAACAATACAAACCTACTAATTAAGTGCTTACCTGAATTGAGAGTAAATCGTGAATTAGCAGTTGTACAATAAGACTCTATGACTCTTAGAATCTCTGCGTCCTCCTCGAAACTTTTTTCACCTTGACAAAAGAAAAAGTTAAACTATACAAAAAAAAATGTGAAAAAAGTTGCTATGCCATACTTTTAGGCGGAGGTTTGTCACTTTTTAAAAGACTGGACCTACAGGGTGCAGATGGACGAAGACAACTTATTGACCAAGGACCTTCCAAATTGGCATCGACCACAATCTCTGAAGCCTATTGAAAAATTTGTTTAATAAAGTTGTAAACATAATTTGGTTCTGAAACGTTAATTTAAGGTGCAGACAGAATTATTTTTATAATTTTGTAAAATAATAATGAGCTAAAAAATAAAGAAAATATCTTTTAAAATACACCAACATTTTAATGTGTAGCTGGAGTTCTAAGCTGCGATTAAAAAATATAATTTCTTATAAAATCAACCTTGTTACAATCGTAAACTTATTTTTTATTGAAAAACTAAAAATTATTGATTCTTACTCGTTGAATATGAGACGATTTGGCACCAATGACCTCGCACTGTTTTGTGATAAGCTCAACCCATTTCTGCTGATCTTCTTTTGTTTGGCAAATAGCAAGGATCCTTTCGATGAGACAACCTGTAAATCAATACAACTTTGAATATAAACGCGGAACAATGAGCTCGAAGCTGATAATTACCAAAGACCGACACTCCCTTACCAACGATTTCGAAAGCGTTTTTGTAATTTTCCGTATCTTCCAGTTTGTTTACTTTTATGCCAGTTAGCGGAAGTTTTCCCTGAAAATGAAAATAAAAATACTGTGATACTGAATCCTGTATTGGTAAGAAAAAGTTAAACATCTAAAGCTCTTACTTCATAAATAAACGCACTCATTCTGTGGCTTGTACTTAACATCAAAAGAGTTGTTGGGAACAGTACAAGATATCTGAAAGCAATGAACTGTTTATTACACTAGTTGTTGAAAACAAATCATTTCTTAAGATTTAAAAGTGAAATAAACACAGTACAAGATATCTGAAAGCAATGAACTGTTTATTACACTAGTTGTTGAAAACAAATCATTTCTTAAGAATTAAAAGTGAAATAAACAATTTTCATTGTTTAAATTGTTTCATATTTTTAAACCTCATAACTCAATACTAGAGATAACAATTGTAAATTACCTATCTTTGTGGTCTGGACCAACAGCGACTGATCCCATATGAATTATACTACCCAGTTTTGCAATATCCTGCCCTTCCCAGCCTCTAACTCCACCTGTTGTTATATCCAGCTCCATTTCTTTTTGTCGGCGTATTAGAGAACATGAAACCTGAAATTAATAATTGAATAAATCATGAATGCAACGAAATTAAATTGCAACATACAGCGATCTCTTTGAAGACAGCTGCAGCCCTTTGAGTATCACCACGGTCAGGATGGCTCTCTTCCAAGTGTCTCTCTAACTCCTGAAGGTGATTGCTATAGCGTTCGAGGCGTCTGAAAGGTTTGCTGAGCCCGGATGTTAGAACTAGTATGCTTGATTGCTGGCCGTTTTCTCCGAGTTGTTGCAAGTAAGCACTCAACTTGTCTCTAAAAACGGAATAAATATGAATAAGTTTTAGGAATGAATATACACTTATAAAATAATTACTTGTGTTTATTTATAACAAAAGCTGCTGATGGATGACCATTACAGTAAGTTTGGTGGGTCTGTTTGAATCTGGGAGCCATCAAAAGCATCACCTTTCCGACACGTTGTTCATTGGGAGATTTCACCAACGCTGTTTCCACATTGCACAACAGTGTTTCATGAAGGCTGACTACTTCTTTTAAATTACCAATAACTTCATTGAATTCTTCTTTTGACAAACTGAAAATGATACATAAATAAAATAAAAAAATTATCTATATCTGTGCCTTTATCATTTGCCGGTATTTCACTCAAAATTTTCTTTTATAAAATCAAGTACAAATATTAGACCTATTATTATAGGTCTGACACCTTAAATATCTCACAAAACTGACTTTAATAAATACTCTTATTTAATAAATCAATTTAATAACACTTAGTATTTGGTTTAAGAGTTTATTGAAAGTAATAAATATCAATTCTTTTAAAATTCATTCATGATAGGAGAATGTCCAAATATTCAAGGTGTACAAAAACAAAAACTTTAACATTTCAAATCAATATACAAGCAATTCAGAAACAAGTAAAATGAGGTTCATAAATTTAAGTAATTACTAATCTTCACAAAAGCTTTACAACCATGTTGGACAAGGGATCAGACCATTTTACAATATGTAGTAAACTACTATCTAATAACTTTAACATAATACCAGGGTGAGCATTGTATGTGTTTTCACTTTGATTTATTTATCTTTTACTTATTTATCTCTTATCTATTTGAAGTTGTTCCTATTAAGTTTTAACAGTCAACAAATGAATGAGAAGAAGAAATCAGGAGAAAAACAAATATAATTATGTTACAATTAATTAAGGTTTTTAGTTGAGATAAAAAGTCAATGGCACGAGCGGGATTCGAACCCACGATCTTCGTGCCAACTTGAAAAATGGCAAAAAGGAGGGAAAATTCAAAAGGTGGGGTTGAGATGGGAATTTGGTGTCCGAGTGGATTGAGGTCACGATAGCTCAAGTGGTAGAGCAGCAGCGTATCTAGCCAAAGATCATGGGTTCGAATCCCGCTTGTGCCATTGTGTGACTGAGGGTGAGAAAAATAAATAAATAAACAATAATAATAAATAAAATTCAGAGTAGTAATAGGTTCTATATCTTCTAACGGCATTCAACGATGAACCCATCTGTATATGCAATGGAAATGAAGAAACTGCCACCCAAATACCATTAAATGTGATGCAACCACTTAAAAGATGTAACTTAGGATTGAGAACACTTGGAAAAAGAATTGCAGCAATGACAGTCAATACCTTCCTTAAAAGGAGTCAATTTAACTGAACTAAGGAATTAGGAAAAGTAGAATAAGCCAGAAGAATACTTGAGAAATAACGTTTCCAAGTAGCCTCCACCTTATTATTATCATCTGTTGATGGATGTTAGTGTTTTTTTTTTCAATTTAGTTAGTCAATAATTACACATAGCGCACTACAAATTGAAGTAAGGAATAGGTTTTGCATCTCGATAGACTGAAGGACAAGTGGAATTATGGAGGATAAAGTGATTTCAATTAATTGAACCTATATTTAGGAAACTATCTTCTATTTGAAGAGGATTCTTTGAGGGGAAAGAATAAAAATCAACAGACAGCTTCAACATTTCCATTCATAAACTGTTTGCCTTAGATAAAATGTCATTGGCTTGAAAAAGTGATTGTAGTCCCCCATACACCTACGAACAAATTGCACAACTGAGGCTGTTGTGCAAACAATTGTACAGCGTATGGTGTTGTTTGACGTGCTGTGCAACTAAGTGCAGAAATTCAAAACTGTTTGAAATTAATTGCACGAGTGGTGTTGCGCAACTGTCGCATCATGTATGAGCTCTAGAGACATATTGTGCAATTACTTCAGTTGTTTCTTGTGTCTTCTTTTCGTATAAATGGTGTTATTTCTAGTAATTTACCAAAAGTTATGGGGTCCATTTGCAAATAATTTTTATAGTCAAGTGGTGAACTCAATTGAAGTTCTTTGTGAAGTTTTACTTGGCTAAAAACAGATCTTTTCTTTAACCACTCTTTCATCCAGACTCTTTGTACCTTTTTCTTTTTTTAACACCAACATTCGACGCAATAGAAATTATTATAGTTAAACAGGCTGCGTAGCGAGACGCCATGTTTCAATTAAAACAAGACAAAAGCAACCGGAGTTTGCAAAAAAAAAAATGTATATAGTGTATGGGGGACCTTGTTTGCACAACAGTCTGTTGTACAATGCACGTTTGCACAATTTAATTGTAGGTGTATGGGGGCTTATTGCTGATGGTGAGGTCTGGACTGTAATTACGCTCATGTTTAATATTTAATATTTATTTATTTTTTAAAAAGATATTTCAACTGAGGTTATATGAACCCTCCCTCAAATGCTGAGGTTTTTAAAAAAAGTTCATTACAGACCCTTTCAGTGATGAGTAGCCTTGTCAACACCTTAAACGTTGAGGCCATCTTTTTGTTAATTATGATTATTAAGTGTCTTGGGTTTTCCCGTCGAAAAAAATTTGGGATCTCTTGACAAGATAATTTTTGGCCCATACTTTATAGCAATAGAGTTAATTCCTCAAGTTTCACAATTATATCTTTTTCATTCACATTTATTAAACATTATGATTATATAATATTTAAAAAAAAAGAGGATACATAATGAGGATGATTTTTTTAAACTTTTTTTTTACCTTAACTCCATTGCTGTACTGTCAATTTGTGTGTCACACTTCTACAGATTTTGAATTTATGACACACTGAGATAATTGTAACACAGTAGTCATGTACTACATATTTTCCCAGGAAGCTTTAATATATTTCTAAACACTGCAGATGTCATAACTGTGTGTCTATTAAGAATTAATGAGGTTCATTCATATTCAACTTTTGATATTAAGAATTACATTATTCTACAAACTGATACTGCTCCTCCTTTTTTAATTGATTGTTATTCATTTGGACTTATAAAGAAATTGCTTCAACCTTATTATTTATCCATTACAGTTCGTAGTCTGATTGACCATTTAACATTTTTCAATTAATTAATATTTATGAAAGGTATTGGTTGAGATAAAAAGTCGGTGTCATGAGCGGGACTCGAATTCGATTTGAAAAATGGCAAAAAGGAGGGAAAATTCGAGTGGTGAGGTTGAGATGGCAAGTTAGTGTCCGAGAAGATCGAAGTCACGATAGCTCAAGTGGTAGAGTAGCAGCGTATTTAGCCGAAGGTCATGGGTTCAAATCCCGCTTGTGACACCGACTTTTTTATCACAACCAATACCTTTCATAAATACTGATTATTTATTTATTAATTAATGCCAATACATTTTGGGGCCTATCTGGCCTGAACTACTGCCATGAATTATGTTATGACTCCCAGAAGGCTAGAAGAGGGAAGCAAGATAGGCCCTGAAATGCACAGATATTCATAAATAAATAGAAAGATTGAAGCAGTTCTTGATCAATTTATTTTTTTTTATTATTTTGTTTATTTATTAATTTTTTTTAACCACTAGAGCGGCAAATGTAGACACTATTTTTATCTTGTCATCACAGAGTACATGTGCAACTTAGCAGCATTTTAATAATGCTCAAAAAAATTTAATAATATAAATTTAAATTCCTAACGCCCATTTTTAAAATTGTTCTGTTTAAAATAAAACTGAATAAATGAAAGGCTATTAAGTATTTAATATTACTAAAGTTCCAAGGACAAATAAACATTTACTGTACCAATAAAAATAAAATTGCACAGACTTTGAACTCACCCTGGTAAAATAAAACAAAATAATTCCAACATCGACACAGAACAATTTGTCACTCCAAACATTCAGAAAAATTTCAAAGAAAAATAAATAAAATGCTATTAGATACATGCTATTTAATTTTAAAGACCACTTACACATGAGCTTTTTCTAGAGGAAACAAAATTGAGCTAATTAACTGTTGCAAATCACTTATAAATGAGCGTTCCGAATCGACCAAATCTTTAATCACCACTGTCCTGTATGCCCTTTGTTGAACAGTTATATCATTCGATGTTTTCAAAGGACTTAAATTATCAGCTGTAATCAAACGTACGAAATGACAATTCAACTTTATGCGTATGACTTGTAGCTAATGTTACTTTGAACGATGTACTCCTTGACGTAATTTGAAGGAAACCAGCCGGTCTTTTCGCCCAAAGTACCTTCCCACCATCCACCCTCCTCTTCCTGTGTTACTGTTATTATATCGCCTTTCTTGAAACATAGCTGAAACAATTATGTTTGAGTTAAACCTTATTAACATATTAAAAAAATTCCATGACACTTGTACTGACAGTACAGTTTTAATTACTTTTGTAAATGAAAAATATGAATTTTGTTTTTAAGTAAATATCATTTTCAATTCTTTGTTAAGGATATTATTTGTCCTGCTTGTTTAATACATACCTCATCATTATTCTGCCCTTTAAAAGAATAAATGGCCTGAACTAAAAAGGGCTGTCCTTCAACTCCCATTGTTTATTTTAACTGTTTCAATTAATTAATTTAAAAAATAACTACTTGCATCCCTGAAAACATTTTGTTTTTTTATTCAAGTAAGCGTGAGTAATATGGAACTGGTTAATAATCCGTATTTAAAAATGCAAATATCGACATTTGTTCAATGGTCATGTCAATTTAGAAAGAAGAAAAATTTACATTTACTACTTACAGACCGTTCTAAAATACTTTTTTATTTCCGAAGATACTAGATTAGGCAAAAAATAAAAATAAAAAGTCGTTATTTACGAAAAAAAACTTTGTTTTACATCGTTGAGTTTTTCATTTTCCTTATTCTCAATTAGAAAATGCAATACTGAATACACCTATGCCATAATTCTACTCCTTTACACTTCCTGAGGTTATACCTTTACATGCCCTATCAATTAATAGTCCCCGATCTTCCCTGTAGAGATCACCAACGCAACTTCCCAAATGTCACCAAATCTTTTGGTTAATTCACCAGGAACAATATTTTAGAAAAGACAAGTTGAACATTTCAAAAGACTTAAAATGTTCTAATTATGAAATAGTATGTAAATAAAAACTTGGTTTCAAAATTATTCTTCCTAAGTACAAATTTGACCTTTCACCTTTTGCCACAAGGAAAACAATTTAAAATATCATTGTCAACTTAGAGTTTCCTTTCCTCTTTTTTACAAATAAGTTAGATAACTGATTATATTGTTTTAATACTGTACTAATATTAAATTTATTATTGTTAAACTCTTATAGTCTGTCATATGTATTTGAGTAAAATATTGTGACATTGAATAGGGTTTGTTTGATTGTTACATTTGTTCAATAAATTTGTTTGAAATTAGATGGGATTTTTCAAAATGGGTGCATTATTGATTTGGCATTAACAAGAAAACAACAGTAATTTTACTTCATGAATAAGTATAAAATTTATTTATTTACAATTTATTGTCCTAGAGTACTGAGCCTGGGAAAAGCGTCCATTTTGCTTAGAACGACTTTCTGGTGGGTGTGGGATATGTATCCTTTAATTTTACCCTGGTGTATTAAATTAGCAAGGATGCAATTCGCCTCCTCAAGCTCAATGTCACCTCCTTCAGAAAATCGCAGAGCAATCAGTAGATCTTCTAAAGTTAAAACTGGATTGTTTGCAATCAGATACCTATAAAGGAATAAAATACAATCAACGACATCCGAGTAAAGTTTAAACTGCATTACTTACACTTTTTTAAATAAGTTTCGGTACGTAACAAGTCTCAAACGCTCGAGTATCAAATAAATTCCACTTTTAATGAAAAAGTTCTGATGGGTTTCTATGGCCTTGCTGAGCTTTCTAGCATTACCAGACCTAACGGCCTCGCCCACCTCCCAAAGCTGGAGCAAGTCATATTTTTCCAAGAGTTCCTTTTTCGGTAAGAAACCCAAAAGTATTTTAAGTGGGATTAAATAAATGAGTATCAAATGTTTATTCCTTTTTGATTGTTTGTGGCACTTTTGAAAAGCAAACGTCAGACTTTCATTAGCTGAAATTATGATAATTTTATTTTCAACTATATTCTTAAAACATTAAATATAGAATTTTAATCCTATAATAATTTGTACAATACTGTTTTAATACCTAATTTATAATCACTATCAAACATCGCTTTTCTTCCAACATAATATCTATATGTTATCTGCTGGCTCAGAGGATATTTATCTTTGAAAGGTGATGAATCGATTGCCCTTATAAGTGGCTTCATCAAATGCAATTTATTAATTCGGAAATACAGTTTAAAGAGCTGATTCACCAGAGATAGCATTCCCCATTTTTTGGTGTCTTGTTCGGATGACCGGCTGTAAATTGAAATTTTGTTACCAACGCACATTCACTTAGCCTGTTTTAATTACTGACTTATCGGAGGAACAAATCCTGAAGCAGGTCATCATTGCTTCTGCAGCTTTTTCCAACGCCTCTCTTGGTTTGACAACAGAGCTGTTGTTGCCCCTTGGTATAACATCACCTTCCTCTCCTGATCCGATACCCTGCTGGTCTACCTTGTTTGCAAGAAGCCGAAGATCCAGACATAATGTGTGCATCAAAGGCAGTAGCCAGTTTTCTTCCTTGTAGTACTGCAACAGCCTGATAAAACCTTGGAAGAGCAAATTTTGCTCGTTGTGCGCTCTCTCAACATCCCCTTTTGTCAACCAGTAGATGCACCTAGGAATTATTGAAAATTATCATTGCTGAGAAGTCCTACGTGAAGAATAAAGTTTATACTTACTTGAGGTGGGAGGAAACAAGTTCATTGAATGGATCATATACATAATTATTAACTGTCATCTCAGGATTCTCGGAAGCGAGATTTTTATTCTTTGCATGATAATGTCTAAGAGACATCCAGTCCTATAAAGAAATCTATATTAATAAGACTAAATAACATTATATGATAATTGATATTATAAATTACATAAATATTAATTAAAATGATTTAAATATAAACATTACAAATATATAATTATTTAAATTGATTTATTATTTGTTATGCAAAGTGTGGTTTAGTTGAAAAGTTAGGGCCACAAGCAGAACTCGATCGTCCAGATCAAGTCATGATAGCTCAAGGGCTATAAGTGTCGTACTGATCTGAAGGTAGTGGGTTACAACCCTACTATAAAAATTTTTCAACTCAAGCATACTTTGCATAAAAAATAATAAATACATTTAAATATTATTATAAGTATATATTTATTATTAAATATAATCATATAAATATTTCTTTGTAAATCTGGCCTAGGCAATTAACTAGCTTTTTTTTTTAATGATAATTTTGGTTTGCCTATCGTTGCTTTTTTGGTCTGACAGGTGTGAAGCGGTGTTCTTCTGACGCACCGAAGAACCCATCCTATCATCGAGAGATTTACATTCAGTCTCCTGGCGACTCCGTGTTGCCTGCATCCTTTCTCTAATAATGTTATGAGCCTGACACTGACATACTCATTCAAATGACTGACTGGAGTGATTGAAAACGGTTTAAAAATAGGAATATCAAATGAAATCAAGGAAGGAAAAAGATTAACTGAAAGCGATCTTGAGGAGTAGCTGGATGGAAGGGCATAATGCTACTTTTTCAGCCAATAAGATTAATCCGTACAAAAGTAAATAAAGTAAGTAAACTAATCACTATTTATGATAGTTTCTAATTACCTGTAACTAATATTATAGAAAGATAATGTATTTATTTTTAAACTAAATAAATTGAGTGGTGTGGTAAAAATTAACTATTTTGATAAAATTGGTAAATATGACTTTGTAAGTATATGTTGGAAGCGAACTAAACTATCAACATATACCTATGAACAATTATGTTTATGTTCACAACATTGTCACATTGAAGTTTTGTTGAGGGTACGAAACAACATGGGCATCAGGCACAACAAAAATTTCAGTTGTTTTATCTTTATAATAATTTATCTTAAGTTTATCTTTATAATAATTTATATTAGGTTTATCTTTATAATAATTTATCTTAAGTTTATCTTTATAATAATTTATCTTAAGTTTATCTTTATAATAATTTATCTTAAGTTTATCTTTATAATAATTTTGCATTGGTGCTTATAGTTTTTAAGATTTAGAAGAATAAATTTTTGGAAAAGATCTGAATTTTTTAGTAATATTCATGAACTATACTTACAGCGAGCAGTTTTCCATTCCTGTTACTCCAATAAATGTCGATCTTTAAATAAATCAATATTATTAACGAACATTGGGGGAATTTAACAAATTTAGTAAATTGTTACCTGTCGCAAGTAATCAGTTAAAGATGTCATTTTATCGTTTTGATATTATTAATTAACGAATCGGCAGTGTAAAATTTAAAACTCTTCAAGTTCGACATAAAAACTGAGAGCAACATAAAAATGATAAAAGCCCTCGCGAACCTGGACTTTTTGTATTCAGTTTCAAACATTGAGGTTTCACAAGGTTACCTCAGGGGTCTTGCCAATATTTTAAATTTTATCTGCCTGAAACAGATTTATTTTTGTAAAAAAACATTATCATCTATGTAAATAACAAAATCAATTATACATAAAACTCAGATTTGAATTTATTATAAGGATTTAATTTACAAGTAGAACAGGTTTTAGAATAGTTTTGAGTTTCAATTTCAGCTCCGCAAGTGTTTTTCATTGTAACACTTAAGGAACCTCCCATCACGTTTATGATTGTTTTTGCGAGATCGTTTTTATGTTACAGTATGCCATGAGAGTCGTTTTATAAGTAATTAGACAAAAAAGGCGACCAGTAAAATTTTTAAGCTATGGCTAGTTTTGTCAGAGAAGGTAAAAAATCAATAATAATAAGAATCCATTTATGTTTAGTGGTCTAATCGACCAAATTACTTATTTCAATTAATTATTCTTTTTATGTAAGGTCTTGGTCAAACTAACTTTTTAATCTCAACCAAGACCTTACATAAAAAGAATAATTAATTAATTGAAATAATAAAAATATTGATCCTTGATCTATATATGAATTTTCTATAACATAATCATGATGTTCCTTGATTATTATTGTAAATACACTGGTCCACAAAAAAAGTCCAGTGTTTTGAAATTTGATATTTTTTATGTACTTATATTTTCAGTAATATTAACATCGATATTTTTTTGTAAATCAGTGTTTAGTGTGAAAATAAAATACCTTTCTCAAAAAAAAAAAAATAAATAAAAAATAAAATTAAACAACATTACTTTTGTGTATGAACATAAAACGTTATAAAATCAACTTAAAAATCTTCAATAGGATGTATTACCTCATCTTGCTCTTATTGCACACTGTAAACTTCTCAACATGCTTATAATTAAGCCTTTAACCACTCATTTGCATTCATTTCATTCCAAAACTCAACTAACGTAAAACTCAGCTCAGCTAAGTAGGGTTATTTCTTTTTTTCCTAATGTCTGAGCTTGCCCCAAAAGTACTCAATGGGGTTCAAATCAGGGATATGGACTGGCCGTCTTAAAGTGTAAATGTAGGCATCTGAAAGGTACTGCATAACAGTGGTGGCGACAGTCTTGTATTTTTTTTTTGCATGGACAAAAATGGCTCGCTAATAAAAGGAGCAAATGGCACCACATATTCCTCAAGAATTTCTTCATCAACAACCTAATAAAAATGGGTAACTCCCATTTTGCCTTCAAACAAATTCCACTCCACACCATAACTGAACCACCTCCAAACAACCCTCTGCCAGCAATGTTGCATTGGCTTTAGGGGCTCTACGGCTGCTCGAAACTCATGTCTGTCTGGTGAATGGAGAGAAAACTGTGACTCATCTGAAAACATAACATTCCTTCAGTTTCTGTCCAATGTTGGTGTCCCTTGCAGTTACACTGATCCATGGTAAACCTAACTGACTAAGAGATCTTTTTTTTTACAGTTCAAAATAAGTGATTATTCGGAAATCGCGAGATGCGGTCTGGTGTGACGTAGGTTTCAGAAAAAACATTTTCTTTATCGTGCCAATGTTTCAATCTTTATTGATATCATTTTCAGGGCCTGGGATTTACGGACATTGTTTAAATTTAACAAATACATGATGTGAAATGTTCCCTGAAGATGATCTCAATAAAAATCGAAACATTGGCACGATAAAGAAAATATTTTTCAGAAACCTACATCACACCAGACCGCATCTCACGATTTCTGAATAATCAAAGACTAACGGTCACTAATCACCACACACGTTCAAAATAAAACTAGATATTTAAATTAGATATTTAGGAAGTATAATAAATGCTGTGTCTAGTTGACGGGTAGCATTGAAGAGTGTCACTACAGGACAAACCTGAATACATTTGAAATTGAAAAGGAAAAAGGGGCCTATTAACCCTATGGAGGGTGCCTCATATTGCATTTACAAGATTTTTAGATTTGTTTTGCAATTCAGAACTATATTAGAGATTAATGTTTGCATTTAGTGCTCTGAGGCCTGCTTGGCTATCTGTCATAATGTTAAAATAAATTTATGTGGACCTAACTTTAAGGAAATAATGGACTTTTCATATTCTTATTATATCTTATGCACGCTTGCAATTATGTGTTTAGGTCTTTTGAGTTTTCGATGGCAACCTTCTCTTCACGTGTTCAGAAATAGGAGGGTGAATGTTCAGAGACCCAGGGCTCCTCATTATGACAGGGCGAGGGTATTGGCATTGCTTAAGCCACAGTATGCTGAGGAGGAGACCTTGTACGAGCCTCCTTCAGTGACTTGTAGGAAACTCCAGGAACTTAAACAGTATATTAAAAGACCCGTATGTAATAAAAAATAAATACATAAAATATAAATTTTAAATAAATTTCCAATTTTAAGTTTGCGCATTTCAGGACAACCCACTGGAAAAAATTCTTGCAAAAGAATTATTTGAGAAATGTGAAAAATCCCAATTAATTGCTTTCTTCCATAAAAACCCAATTAGTGGTCTAGACGATTTTAATGTGAGTAATATGTTTATGATTTATACATATATGCATTTGTTATCTTTGTATGAATTATTAGTTCTGTATTATATTTAATCTGAATGTTATTAAAGGCAAAGATTAAATTTAGAAGAGAGCAAATGGAAGTTGAAGTACATTCTAAGTATACTGCAAAATTAGCCTTCGAAGGCACTAATTATGAAAGCGTACTTGAGCTTTTCATGGCCCACAATGCGATGGCGTTTTGTGATGAACCAAAAGTGAACACACTGTTAAAAATTACAAAAAAACTACCACAGTATGTTTTACTGTGTATGTATCATGTATTTTATATGTTAGTTACAACATATAACTTACTAACTAGCTGGCTACTATTTCTTTTCAGGTGCAATAGTTGAAGGGAAAATGTTGAATATGAGCCAGCTTGTGTCCTATGCCCAGTTCAAAGACATAAATCAAGCCAGGGCACAACTTGTCGCAACTTTGAATTTGGCTGGGACAGAATTTGTCTCTAGGCTGTCGCAACCACAAAACACTTTAGTCTCACAGTTAGGAGAATTAGTAAAAATAAAAGGAGAAAAGTCCTAAACCCAGAGGTCTTTTGTTTTTATAGAATTTTGTACATGAATATTTAATTATATTGTTAACAATACATTTTTCAATTCTTATTTACATTTTCCTCTTGCCAAGAAATCCTGTTCCTCCTTCCAATTACAGATAATTTTGTACATTCTTTTTTAGAATTTGTTTTATTTGAATTATATTGTTAATTAAAAAACAGTAGAATATGTTGAGTTTATTGTAATGGGGCCTCAGTGGCCGCATGGTTAGTGTTGACATGGCAATTCATCACTGTAAATGTCCTAGGTTTGAATCTCGGTCACTCTGAATTTGGATCCCCAAGTAGTAGGGGGTCCCCACGACCTCCGGAGGTGGTTTCTGCGTAAGGACGAAGGCAGGTGTGCTCAAGAGATTAGTTTGTACAAGTTGGTGAGGTAGTGAGAACTGGAAGCAGAAAAATCCCTATATATTTTTATTGTATTTTATTATGGTGAAGGTCTGTTGATAGATGAATTTATTAAATTTTTAGATATTAACCCAAAGATGGTGTTACATATATTTCTTTTCCCCCCTTGTTTATTTAGCCACTCTTCTTCCACCTCCACTGGTAGAACTTTGTGGTGGAAGGGTGACAATAATTACAAATTAGGTTTTCATTTTTCACTATACATCTTTTACATACATTTTTTATAATTATTTTTATTTATAACAATTTAACCCTAACATTTATAACAATGTTTTTGTCATAATTTCAATTCATGTTAAAATGTTCAATATTTAAATCAAAATATTTTATTGTGAGATTTCTCCATGTCTGCAGAGTGATAAACCTGAAGTTTGCGAGATACTGAATATATCTGACAGACCAATGCAGAGAGGAAAGACAGATCAAAATGATAAGTAACAACCAAATTTAAACAATATTTTAACCTGAAAAGCAATAAGCAGAATTTGAAATGTTATAAATAAAAACAACTGCTAAAATGTTATAAAAATATTGTTGCTATGCTAAAAACTTTGTTTTACTAATGCCTTAATTTATGATTGTAATATGGATGAGAGAGAAAGACATGAATGAACATAAGCAGGAATAAATTTTGAAGTGATGAACATAATTTGAATCTACTTCTTGTAGATTTTGTCGATTGTCCTTTAATCATGCTCATCTGCCTATGAAAACAATTTAGGAGATAAAATACAAAACATTATTTATTAAATAATAAGTTACGAGTAGGGTTTTTGGACAAATTTGAATCCTGTACTGCTATATGTGACTCAAAAATTGATACAATCTTTCAGAAAGATGTGCTCCAGTTTATTTACTTCTGTACATTTTTTCAATTAAAATTTACAAAAAAAAAATTCGTTCAAAGAATAAATACACATAATTTATTGGTTGAAATAAGAGTATCCACTATCAATATTGATTGTGATATTCAAACTGTATACTCTTATTTCAATCAATAAATTTTCCAGGGTGTTAAAATTCAACGAATTTTTAAATAGTTTTCTCAAAATATCTATAAAAGTCTATATGGGGGAAACCTGTGTTTACAAATGGATTTTGTAAATTAATCTTTGAATAGACAATCTCTTCTTTTTTGGTTTTTTGGTGTAAAGTTTCTTTCTAACTTCTGGTGGTTTGATTTTTTTAGATTGTACGATTTTTCAGTTTCAAATTTGCTTGAGTGATGATTCTAAGTAATATAGATTCGGCTACATTGGAAGATGGAAGAAGTCAAGCATATTTGGCTAGGGTGTTTCACATTCCTAGAACAACAGTCTAAAGCTTTGCTAAGATACTAGAGGTTACTCAAAACGGCATTGATCAGGTTGCAATCGTGTCACATCTCAAATAGAAAATTGTTTCATTGTTCTGAACATACTCCATAATCAACATTTTTACTGCTATGGAAATCAAGCAATGAACAAGTTAGAAATGTTAATGTCAGTTTAAGCATTGTAAGGCGAAGACTTTCAGAAGCTGGGCTATATGCGAGAAGGCCTATCACCGGTCAAGACCTTCTGACAAGGCACAGAACAGCTCAGTTAAGTAAAAAATCACATTAATTAATCTGAGCAAGATTGGACTAAAACGTTGATTTGTCAAGGTTTTGTTTGAGGTCCTCTGATGGCCGAGAGAGGGTTTGGAGAAGAACAGGCAAGCGATATATTGTTGCAATATTTTTATTCCAGAGAAGCTAAGGAGGTGGTGGTGTTATGATTTGAAACTTGATCTTCATCGAAGGTTCCATAACAGCTGTGGGATACATTAATAAAGTAGTATCAGAACAAGTTGTTCCTTATATGCCACTAATTGGCGATGGTTTTATTTTTATGCATGTCAATGCAAGGCTCCGCACTGCTAGGATTGTTGGTGACTACTTCAATTCCATGTTTGGAGTGGTCAGCACATAGTCCCAATTTAAACCATATCGAACGCCTTTGGGACGAGTTTTTAAAGAGGATAAAAAGTCAACCAGTGATGCAAGAGAATTTGCAGGAATTAAGAATGGTGCTGTTGGAGGGGTATGAAAATATTCCACACTACATTCAAATCCTAATAAAATGGTCGATGTGGTGATCAATGCAAGAGAAGGAAATACTCCGTTTTGAATCAAACATTTTCTTTTTTGTGGCCACTTTTTTGCCCCTCAGTGTATTTTTCATATATTTTACCTGACAATGTAAATTGTCCAGGTTATTTGTTAAAGTTATAAATGTCAAATATGAGGATTTTTGGTAGTACTTAAGTTTCAGGATGGTTAAATGCAACTATTTTTAAATGTTTTATTTCAAAATCTTACTACTTTCCAATGTTTCTTTACAGGAGGGTCAAGATGGACGAAATAGACGAAAGTTGAAGTGCAAAAGGTAGCAATTCTTTGGATTCTAAGAAAAAAAGTCAAGGTGATGGAATAAACGATTATAGATCTCAAATTTGAATCGTCGTGAGAATGTCAAAGCATCAAGATGGTGAAGTTTAATACTTTTTGAATATGTTATATCTAAATCTAAGTAATCTTCATGGAGGATTCTCAAAATCACGACTGTCATTGCAACTGTAATGTTTTTCGAATATTTAAACTTAAATGCGTCTGATCAAGGAGTACAGTGGGTATGGAAAGACCCAATAGCAGATGAATTAATAAAATTAATTGGTAACAATTGGGAGATTGAAAGGTCAGCTTAAATTTTAAATATTTAGAACTCTGGGCACTTTTGTTTAGCTGCAGTCTTATTGGTAGAACCATTAAAAATTAGTGATTGTAAATTTTTTTTACGCGTTTGAAATTCACGTTTTATGTTTTGTATACTTTCTTTGGGGTGGGTATTGCTTAAGTTTGGAGTACTGCTCAAGAAAGCAGGTATGCATTTGAAAGTTCTGTTTGGAATTTTTTTTTTTACAAAAGTTACTAATCTACTCCAGGGGGTCGTGAGACAACGGATTCGGTATAAAAATACAGCACTAGGCCGAGAGCCCCGATTTAAAGTGCTCGCCCCGTGGATCTTCCTGATGGGACACGTGTCGTCGGGGGTCTCTCGGCGGGGTTCCGACGATACACCGTTTGCCCGAGGGTGTTACGACGAAGATCGGAGCGAACGTAACCGGTGGACTTTTAAAAACTACCAGCCATACTGTTCTGGGGAACGATGCCAAAAAGGTGACACTCGGCTCAAATGTGACGAGGCACGAACACCAAGTGCCACAACCAGGCCAGTCTTGGATAAGACCCGGTCTCGTCCGACTGCCGTTTATTTGGCATAATTTTTACCTTTTTTTTCTCAGTTAACATCCGGATATACCGTAAAAATAAGGATAACAAGCAATTTACTCATAGAGGAAGAAAATACTTCAGCACTAAAAAAAGGTAAGAGAATCTTATTTATAAAAAGATTAAAAATATATATTTTCAAAAAAACCTTTTACATATACATAAAGTAAAATGAAACACATAAACTCACTTAAGAATGCATTATATTGTATTTTTGGACCGGGTAGGTCTTGTTTTTAAAATAGAACCAGTCTTTGATCCATCTTCGTCTCACCTGTCTTTCAAGAAACTATGGCGAAATCGATCTCGCCTCGTACCGAGGTGTGAAAAGGCGAAATTTTCACATTTCCATTAGTAATACGCAAAGAAAACAAGTGGAAAAAACACAAAGTCCGCCATGTTTTTCTCGTTGTAAATTCTTTTTAACACACGTCAAATGAAAACCATGTTTTGGACAGTGTCCCTTTTTTGATCAAAAAATCCCATTTCGAATGTTAAAAATGTAAAAAAAAAAACAATCGAAAATATCACTTTGCCCCCTTTGATCCCGTAATTAGCAGTTACAATAATTATTTAAAAACCTTTATTTCTACATGGAAATAGATTAATTATATTAATCATATCGCAGTACTGAGGATCGATGGATATCGCAAGTCCTACTCCTAATAAAATCACCGAAATTTAGACAAATTCTAGCTGTTGTTCATTCTCCTACATGAACGGTTACGAAATAAGTTCGAAAATAACTTAATATCTATCGAACTAAAACGTACTCTTCAAACTACTCAAGCCTATATCAATAATTATACATGCAGTTTTTTTAAATGTTACAAGTTATTGTTTGCTACGTGGCCTTTCTCAAAATGTCAAGAATTTATTTATTTTGCTGAACAGAAATTTGGCTGAAAGTTAAAAAGGATCGGATATCAAGTGGGAAATCAAGAAAATGTTTCTCGTTAATCCATTCAAATCCGCTTCTATATTTTAAAATAATTGATATTTCTTGAGTTTTTAATTTATGATGGAGATGTTAATTTAATTTATCCTTAGTATCCATTAACGTTATATATTTTTTTTTTAAAACAAATACAAACGACCATTTCAAGCTTAATGCATTCATAATGTATTCACATACAGTATATGATGTCTTTCTTAAAATAAAAGTATTTCAATCAATCAAATCATATTCCTAGACACTTACACAATTCGAATGATTACTGTACACTAGAAACCAAACTAATAATTTGATTAAATAATTTGGATTAATATGGATAAAATACAAAATAAAAATAAGATTTAATAACATAGATATAACAATAACAATAATGATTATTTGAAAATCTTGAGATGCAGTCTGGCGAGACGTAGGTTTTAGAAAAACATTTTCTTTATCGTGCTACGTTTCGATCTTGATTGAGATCATCTTCAGGGCCTGAGATTTATAAACATTGTTTAAATTATACAAATACGTGTAGGATGTGAAATAATGAATTTATAACACAATGCTAGAAATTGTAGACTCAATGTTTGTACTTTGTACTTTTGTAAAGGGTGTAGGGATAGAAAACATTTTTATATGAGGAGTTGGCTTCTTTTACGTGATGCTGCGTTTATCTCTGTTGATATATACCATTTCTAAAAAGTTACGTTTATGTTTGTTTTGTTCTGTGTGTAATATTTTTGGATTGTTGAAGTCGAAATTGAAAATGGTGGGTAGACCGTGCTGTAAGATATATTGCTTTACTCTCTTATCCAGATATTGGGATGTAATTCTGATGTAAGTTGCAGACAGTTCAAACAAATGATTTAAATTATGCCAGGCTTATTTGTTACTGGCGTGAGATCATTAATTTTGGAAAAAAGTGTGTGAATTGCTTTATAGTTTTTGAAAGCTATTTTAAAGTTATCAAAAGAGAGAAATGTGTTTAATTTATGTGATAGGCCGTGAATGAATTGCATCGAAATGTTTGTTGGCTTGATAGATTTGATGTACTATTATTGGTAACAGCAGATGGTGTTAGTGTTGAGTTGTAGTTGTTGATTATTCTCTTGATTATGGGTTTAGGGTAGTGATTGTTATGTAATAATATAATAAATAACGTGTGTGGTGTTTAGTGACCGTTACTTTATTATGTGGAGGTCGTGAGATGCGGTCTGGTGTGATGTAGGTTTCAGAAAAACATTTTCTTTATCGTGCCAACGTTTCGATCTTTATTGAGATCATCTTCAGGGCTCAAAGTGTTTGTTTTCCATGTAGATGTGTCATTCTTGTCTGTCGTGTTGAGAATGCCCCTCCAAATAATAATAAATAAAAATTAAAACATAAATCTTTACTACAGTGTTGTCACTTACTGAATGTTTAAAACTTTATTCTGAGGTTTTTAAGACCTCATTAATTAAAAAATAATAATACTAAATAATTAATAATTAGTCACTAATGATTACACGTTAAACTTATGTAATTTATCTGGCATTGATTATTCGAAAATGCGACAGTTCAAAACTAATGTTTTGAAAGAATATTGAAATTATAAAAAAATTAAATTGCGTGTTTAAAACGTTACATAATTTTCAGACAGCGTTCTTTTAAATATACGAACCCTTGAATAGTCAGAAGATAAGTCAATTAAACTAAGGATTTTTAAAGATATGAACGAATATATGAGTTAGATATTTGTTATATTATTTATATTATAAACAAGAAACTGTCAAATCTAAAATTCTGGTGTTAAAAAACCCTCAAACCATCTAGTTTATTAAAAATAAATTTACGATGCCTTTATCAGTTAGTGGAAAATACTTAATTAATAAAAGAAAACATGATAGAAGTATTGATACAAAAAAACATTTAAAACGTGAAAAATACTTCTTTAAAAAAATGAGATCTGGCCAAAATGGGTTTACACGTTTACAGAAAAATAATATTCCTTTTCCCCAACGGATCATACAAAGACTTTGATAACTAGGAAGTAGATCAAAATAGATCGTTATTAATTTACATTCTAAATGAATATTTTGTAAGTATTTAAATAAAATGTGTCTCCTAAAAATAGTCAATGTTACTAAATATTAGATATTGCTATGTCCAAAAATCCCTTACTTATTTGTTATGTATGCTGCATCATCGATGAAATGGGTAAAGCCATTGTGCTAGGTTTAAATTAATTACTAATCTAGAATAATTAAATTAGAAACGCTAAAAAATCTAATTTTTTCTCATTATTCATATCAGGGGATATGTGTATTTTATTTCTACTCTCAGCTATTTTATTATCGGGTTGTCCGGAAAATAATGCAGGATTTTAAGTTTTCATTAAAAAAAATCTATATAAAATATTCTGTTTACGTTTACAGGATTACTCATTTGTATGNGGAAATTATTTTGATTAAAGAACATTGCTTTAAAGTAACTAGTTTCTTTTTTTTTGTTTAATACCAAAATCCTGCATTATTTTCCGGACAACCCAATATTTTTATTTGTCGATTCAAAACCTCACCATTTGTCCTCTTCACCTGAAAAGTCATTATACAACACGCTTATGTAAGACTTTTGAGATGAAAAGGGCACTTGGTGAGGTGTCGAAACGTGTAGAGAGTATTATCAAATATATAAAATACAAATAACTATTGATTAATAATGGGCACATACAAAGAAAGACTAAGGGGGAATATATTAAAATTCATTGTATATTTCTTGAAGAACAGGAGTTTGTCTTGTAAGAAAAGAAAATGAAATATAAGAAAAACGCGCAGAAGAAAACCGAATCCCTCAGGGGTCGGTATTCTCCGTAAAGATCTTTGGGAAAGCCGACAATCTGGAAGAACTTATGTGCAAATCGTTGTATGTAGTTGATTTAATATTTATTTATTTTAATGGTACAAATAGGGCTTTAAGCCCCCTTACATCTACATACATTAGAAATAAATTTAGTTTTTCAAACATAGTAAAATAATAACAGCAATAAAGGGCGTCGGTGGCCGCAACGGTTTAGGCGTTGACACGGCGATCAACACTGGAAGGTAAAGGTTCCGGGTTCGAATCCATCGATACATACAGATGGGCTTTTTTTCAAAAACACCGGCACCCTGAGGGTTTATATGACCTCTGCTGTTGCGAACCCTCGTTAAAAAAAAAGAAAATACAATACTATATTCTTTAAAATATTAATTATTTATAATCGAATGATGAAACCACATTACGAAAGAAAAGCAGAAAGAGAAAACAAAGAAACGGGAAAAAGAAAAGGAAGAGGGAAGAAAAAAGATGATTCACGTAGTTTTAAACAACTCAGATGCCATGGACTTGAAACAAGCCAGCGGGGAAGCAGAACGTACTTCCCGGGGAAGCAAATTCCATAGTCTTGACCCTGCAATTCCGAAGTAGGGGCTTTAGATTTAGAGGAGTGTTGAAGGCTTGGGTTATTATTGATACATTTGGATAAGGAATGAGAAAAAAGTTGATAGATATTGAGGACATTTATTTGATTTAATTTTAAATATATAAATTAAAACTCTTAAAAGCTTAAAACTTTATAAGCGCTTAGAATGTTAATGTTGCTGAAGATATTAATAAAATATTAATTAAGATATAAATAGGAAGAAATATGATCATGTATATAATGCAGGAATGAGAAGAAATTTGAAGGCAATGAACAGATTGAGAGTCTAAGGAAAGCGAAAAAGTAAGAGAATAAAGGAATTATTAGAGATTTAATAAGGAGAATTCTAATTTTCTGTGGTGTGAAAAAGCTAAGGCGTCGAAGAGAATGGAGGCTTCATTTTTAATAACAAAGCTCACATGGTTATGCCATGTAAACTTCGAGTTAAAAATAACGTAGAGCATTTTAACTTTAGGGCGAAAATTAATCGGGTTTAAAAGAATGCCGTTATTTCTTGACCATTGTTTGAGACGATGAAGATCACGATTGAGCAGAGAGATAGCTCACGCCAGACCGCATCTCACGATCTGTAAATAATCATTAACTAACGGTCACTAAACACCACACAAAAAAGTTTATAAAGTTTTGTAAAAGTTAAAAATTAATTATTAATAATTAATAAAAATTAATGATACGTCGACAGTATAACTAAAAATCCGAACTTTTGTATTGATTTTAAAAGATCTTTGATAAATATTAAGGAAAAAATAGGACCGAGTTCAGCACGTACCCTGAGGTTTGTCTGAAAGAATATTGTAACTCGAGCTATATGAGGCTCCAACTTTTGTAATTTGAGTTCTGTCATTTAGAAAAATTTCACACAGTTTAAGAGGGATATCTGCTTTTAAAGTAAAACAGAGTGGATCAAAAACCTTTTTCTCAGTCCCCAAACCTTTTTCGAAGTTAGATAATTTGTCGTATTCAAAAAAGTACAGTTTTATTTTTAATTTTTATTTAAATATCTCAGAAATACTTTAACGTACGAAAAACCTTGAAATCTTGTAGGCTTTAATTCCTCCATTAATCATTATTAAAATTATTTCTTTATTAAATCTGCCAAAGTAAGTCTGTAATCCATTTTTAAGGATTAAACAAGGTCTTGTTAAAACAGCTAAATCTCGATAAAAATCCAACCAGTTTCTATTTTAATGTCTCCCACTCTGCGTCCTTGGCAATATATTTATATTTGATAGCGCGCACATTTATTGTGACCAACGGCAGGTAAGTTGCGTATTGTTGCCCGGTGGATCCTCTAAGATTGTAAATCTCATGACTTTTCTCTAAGGACTTAATTACAACAAAGATTATGATCAAGGCGATCAGCTGGCGAGGATCGCAGTGACAACGGAGCCAATGCTTCTAATTTTAGCCATGCTTTACGACGCGAATGAAGAAGAGATAACCCATATATCGAAATATAAACAAGCCTTTTGGCCCATGTTTATTTCCTACTGCCAAAATATTAATTGTCCATTATTTTTAGTATAGAAATTATCGAATCGATTTGTCCGTGGTGCCTTTTAAGCTTATATATCGGGTTGTCCGGAAAATAATGCAGGATTTTAAGTTTTCATTAAAAAAAATCTATATAAAATATTCTGTTTACGTTTACAGGATTACTCATTTGTATGAATGTCAACACTTATTAATCCTCTTCCAAATGATATTGTTTGTTTACCTCTGTAGCATTCCGCTACTTGGAAAT